ATAAAATCTGCCTCTGAATTTATGAATCATAGAGGCAATCAGCCTGCTATACTTATGAGCTGTTTAAACCTTTTAATAGTAGCTATGCTCACTATGAAGCTGTCACAATAATTGGAGAAAAGGTCAGAGGGGCAACAAGAGCAGTTAAAAAAGAAATTATAAATACACCACCATATATTAGTTTCTTCAATTAAAACACTTCTATATACCTAAACAATGTTGCGAAATGTCTGCGGCTTCACATATTTTTTAAAAGCATGGCATATGGCACATTGCACAAAAAGTACATATAATTACAAATGTTAAACATTTTTATAGATAAAATTAAATATTCAGGTTCTTGCAATTATATAACTTATGTACTATTTGGATAATGAGCAATACATCTGTACAAAGCTTGTATATATACACTCTTTGGTTCATATACACGTCATTTATTTCCACTTAAAACATGTATAAACAGCAAGTAAACTTCCAGTTTCACCTTACAATAATCAGGTAGAGCCCAGAGCTTTGCTTTAGCCAAGCTCAGAGCCCATAGTCAAGCACACAACCAAGTAATTAATGGCGCAATCCGAGTGGAAGTTTTAATCCAGAAAGCTGTTACCTAAGCTTAGGTCCAGCAAATTAGGTTTCAGTCTCAACTAATAAGTCAGGTACAGAGCCCAAAGCTTTGCTGTAGCCAAGCTCAGAACCCATAGTCAAGCACACAACCAAGCAATCAATGACACAAGCCAATTGCAAGCTTTAATCCAGAAAGCTTTTAGCTAAGATTTGACCCAGCAAGAAGTTTGGTTCCAGTCTGAACTAAACGCAATGACAATTGAAATAGATAACTTGTGTATTGAGACTCCGCAAGTAGAAAGTTTGAAAAGAATTTCAGCCCAACCAGAAATAAATTGCGACATACGTCTCGATATTATATAATCTGCCCCTGAATTTATGAATCATAGAGGCAATCAGTCTGTTATGCTTATGAGCTGTTTAAACCTTTTAATGGTAGCTATGCTCACTATGAAGCTGTCACAATAAATAGAATAAAGGACAGAGGGGCAACAAGAGCAGTTATAGTGTCACACAATACACTAATTAATTTTGCTTAATATCTAGATTAGATTACTTCTATCCCACACCCTAAAAGTATAATTAATGGCGTTACTCCGAAGTCACTGTAATCTTGATACGTCACAAGTATGTATATTGAAAGAAATTATAAATACACCACCATATATTAGTTTCTTCAATTAAAACACTTCTATATACCTAAACAATGTTGCGAAAAATAAGCCTACTATGCTTATGAGCTGTTCAAACCTTTTAATGGTAGCTATGCTCACTATGAAGCTGTCACAATAATTAGAGATAAGGTCAATGGTCGCAATGACAATTAAAATAGATAACTTGTGTATTGAAACTCCGCAAGTAGAAAGTTTGAAAAGAATTTCAGCACAACCAGAAATAAATTGCGACATACGTCTCGATATTATAAAATCTGCCCCTGAATTTATGAATCATGGAGGCAATCAGCCTGCTATACTTATGAGCTGTTTACACCTTTTAATAGTAGCTATGCTCACTATGAAGCTGTCACAATAATTGGAGAAAAGGTCAGAGGGGCAACAAGAGCAGTTAAAAAAGAAATTATAAATACACCACCATATATTAGTTTCTTCAATTAAAACACTTCTATATACCTAAACAATGTTGCGAAATGTCTGCAGCTTCACATATTTTTTAAAAGCATGGCATATGGCACATTGCACAAAAAGTACATATAATTACAAATGTTAAACATTTTTATAAATAAAATTATATATTCAGGTTCTTGCAATTATATAACTTATGTACTATTTGGATAATGAGCAATACATCTGTACAAAGCTTGTATATATACACTCTTTGGTTCATATACACGTCATTTATTTCCACTTAAAACATATATAAACAGCAAGTAAACTTCCAGTTTCACCTTACAATAATCAGGTAGAGCCCAGAGCTCTGCTTTAGCCAAGCTCAGAGCCCATAGTCAAGCACACAACCAAGTAATCAATGGCGCAATCCGAGTGGAAGTTTTAATCCAGAAAGCTGTTACCTAAGCTTAGGTCCAGCAAATTAGGTTTCAGTCTCAACTAATAAGTCAGGTACAGAGCCCAAAGCTTTGCTGTAGCCAAGCTCAGAACCCATAGTCAAGCACACAACCAAGCAATCAATGACACAAGCCAATTGCAAGCTTTAATCCAGAAAGCTTTTAGCTAAGATTTGGCCCAGCAAGAAGATTGGTTCCAGTCTCAACTAAACGCAATAACAATTGAAATAGATAACTTGTGTATTGAGACTCCGCAAGTAGAAAGTTTGAAAAGAATTTCAGCCCAACCAGAAATAAATTGCGACATACGTCTCGATATTATAAAATCTGCCCCTGAATTTATGAATCATGGAGGCAATCAGCCTACTATGCTTATGGGCTGTTTAAACCTTTTAATGGTAGCTATGCTCACTATGAAGCTGTCACAATAATTGGAGAAAAGTTCAGAGGGGCAACAAGAGCAGTTATAGTGTCGCACACTACAGTGATTCATTTTGCTTAATATCTAGATTAGATTGCTCCCAACTCACACCCTTAAAGTATAATTAATGGCGTTACTCCGAAGTCACAAGTCCTCCACCGTAATCTTCATAAGACGAATACCTTCGCTATACCAGTCGCATAGTTCGACCAGCACTTGAATAACGTGTATACCTATTATATCCACATATATGAACATTGAACAACTCTGTGAATAATTTAATAATAATTAAAAATATGTTGCTCAATACAAAATCCGTTCTATTTTCCTTTATCGGCAAAAGAATACAGACCAGTCATTGCTCATTCCCATTGCTATTTTCGCAATTATCCAGACAAATCACTCCACGAACTGGGAACGGCCATGAGGACGAAATCAAGTTCTCCCCCATTATCGTCATAAGACGTATACTATCGCTGGACCAAGGGACAAAAGTATAATTATTAGATCCACATATATAAACATTACAACTTCACTTTTTAACAAACAACAATTCTGTAAATAATTTAATGACATTTTAAAATTTTATACCGTTGAATACAAAATCCGTTCTTTTTTTAAAGGCAAAAAAGTACCGACCTGTTATTACTAAATCTCATTGTTATTATCGAAATTACAAATCACTCCTCGCACCGCCACCAAAACCACTATCGATTTGAGAAAGCCATCAATTTTGCTTACACACTTATGTTGGCATACTGGTGCTAAGTTTTGCCGTGTTCAGTCAAATTATGCTTTAGGTTCCCACGAAGCCGCTGACACAAAGCGTGACACAATTTCATCGCATCGCTTATCGTTTATGGTTAGAATACTAGGGCGGCAGTAGCTCATGTTTCCTTACGTCACAAATATGCCTATTGAAGGAAAATATAAATACACCATATATATTAGTTTCTTCAATAAAAAAAAAACTGTTTTTATACCTAAACAATGAGGCGAAATGTCTTCGGATTTATATAATTTTTAAAAACATGGCACGACGCACATATTGCATATAATTACATATGTTAAAAATTTTTAGAGATAACATTATATGTTCAGGTTCTTGTAATGCGCTTTTCTCTATTATCAAAATTAACCAGACAAATCACAGCCAAATTACACGAAGTGACACACATAGCATGATACAGTTGCATCGCATCGTTTGTGAACATCTAACTTTCGTTCCTGATTAATGAAAACATGATTGGCAAATGCTTTCGCTTAAGCTAGACTTAAAACTTTCGAAGAATTTCATATTTCCCATCGTAAAAATGCAGTCTGTTAATCAATACCCCTCGATCTGCGCCACAAATATGTTTATTGAAAGAAATTAAAAGTATACTATCATTTTACTGACACGCATATATATTACTCTCTTCAATAAAAACACGTTTTTATACCTACACAATGCTGCGAAATGTCTTCGGACTTACATAATTTTTAAAAACATGCCACGACACACAAATTGCATATAATTACAAATATTAAACGTTTTTAGAGACAAAATTATATATTCAGGTTCTGGCTTTATATAACGTATGCTCTCATTGGATAATGGACAATGCATCTGTGCAACTCTATGGTTCATATCCACGCCATTTATTTTCACTTGAATGAAGTATAAACATTACAACTTCACTTTATAACAACTTAGTAGTTGGCTTATAAAACTACAAAACGACAATTATGTGAATGATTTGCTGATATTAAAATTTTTTTTATTGTTTAATACAAAATCCGTTTCTTTTATCTTTAACGGCAAAAGAATACAGACCTGTTATTAATCAATCTCATTGCTATCACAAAAATGAACCAGACACATCCCATTAAATTATGCTTTCATCTACTTTCGATCTGCGTCACAAATATGTTTATTGAAATGAAGAAATTTTACTGGCACGCATATATATTTGTTTCGTCAATAAAAACACTTTTTTATAACTAAACAATGTTGCGAAATGTCTTCTGACTTACATAATTTTAAGAAAAAACGGAAGTGTGGTATACTATTTATAAAATGCAAAGTGGTACAAACATTTTCACTTATAAAATTAATTGTATATTTTGTAACAGTAACATTTTTTAAAGATGATACATACATTTTTTTATAAGAAATTGGACACTTGTACAAAAGTATATGTATTTATACTTTAGATTCATTAATACTTTTATAAAACCTTTAATGAAGCAGTTCATCATATAAGGCAAAGATGTTTTTAATTGTACTTTCCGTCAGTTAATAAATATGAAAATATATATTTATATTTATATATGGTAATGCTGCAAGCTTATACACTTAACATTTTTCGCGATCATGAATATTGTCAAAAAATTTTATCTGCTTATTAGCTTATGTCATAGAGTATATATATTTAAGATATAAGATAGATAGCAAAGTCTGCAAATGTTTACATTCTTTGAAATACAAAAACTCAAGTAAAATCGTCAGTTTAAGTCTAGCTGCGACTTATGCATTAATAAGTGTTATGTCGACAGATTTTATATTACAAATTATTGTTAATAATGAAAATACTATTGTAAGTGCTTAAAACTGTTTTAAAACGTTGCTTTTGTATGTTGTCTAAAATTCGCTTTCCTCGTGCGTTGTAGTTTTAGTCTTTAGAGTTTCGTTTTCCCCGTTGGTCTGTTCATGTGATATGCTTGTTATGGTAGACTTTATGATGACAGAGCTTGTACTGGTTTCTGTGCTATTGCTACAAACAAAAATAGTATGATGTATTTTGGACAAAAGTAATCAAATTCATACGTACCCTCTTGACGCCAAATCTAGTAAATTTTGTATATTTATATTAGACATATCCTTCATATTTACGTTTGTTGTAGTTTGGTTTGTTTGTGTGCTAAGCACTGACAAGCGACCTATAAATCATATTAAAATAGGGTTAATTAAATGCGTGTAAAATAATTAATGAAGATGTAAAATATTTTTTTACATTCTCATGCAAAAACAGTTTTTTTTTGCGCCTTTAAAACTAATATCGCTAAATTAATTATTACTGTGTGCGAAGTTTACTGCCATTAACCTAAAAACAAAGGTAAATAAGTAAATTAAATTTGCAGTTTCTATTACGATAACAAATAGATTGTTATTACATAAGGACGAACACGGTATATGAGTCACCCGTCGCATGGAGCACCAAACATTAAGGACAATGGAATTTTATGTGGAGTTAATATTAAGCTAATTGTTGGCATTCTTTACTTACCGACAGTTTCTTCTGTAGTTGTGGAACATAGCGTTGTTGTAGTGGTATTCAAATGATCGCGAACAGAGTCGACAGTTATGTCACCTATAGAACTGGTGATGGTCTCATTTGCTCGATTGGGCGAATTGCTGGTATTTAAGCCGTTAGTTAGCGGAATACTATTGTTTTCAATGCTAAGCTCAAGCGCTTTAGCGCGTTGCTTCGCAATCGGTGGTTCAGTTCTGGTTGTACTGGCCCCGTTTTCAGCACTATCATCGTTTGAATTGACGTTTTTATCGCTATTATCATCTTCGATGGCTTGAATTGTAGATTCGTTGTCATCGGTCTCGAAAGGTTCGACCGATACGAAGCCTGTGGGTTGTATGACTTGGAAGGTAGATAAAGCAATTCGTTGCAACTCTGAAGATGACATCATATACAATGCCTCACCGCTATTAGTAAAGCAAAGCGACGAAATGCCACTGTAAGAAAAAGTTATTAAAGGTTTAAAATCCATATTTACGTTATAATAATTTGTAACTAACTTAATATCCTCTCGTCTTACTGCTGCTGCATTTAATTGACGTTTTAACTCTGGCACTGATAACACCATAATGTCGCCCATGTTGGTTAAACAAATTAATGCCATCTCATGGTAAACCTCACTATCACGTGCTGGTAAAGGTAGACTTGTATTTGCTACTCCTTCCCCGCCATCGTGAGATCTAGCAGATTTTGTTGGACTGGTCCCATTTATACTTTGCAAGAGCTCATGCGAGACACGACAGCTAAACGAGCCGAAGTGTATGCGGCGTATACGGGCACCTTCGTTAGCCGTCAACTTGTACTTGTTAATAGGTCTTAATTGGGGTAAGGAAAAAACTTTAAACTGTTCTTCGGAAGCAATAAGAACACGATGGGGTGGTGTACCATTTTCCCCAGAGTTTAACTGGTCAACAGGGGATCCACTTTGGTCAAATATAGAAATGCCTATAACAGGTGCCCTATGTTTTAACTGAATTTCCTTGGCTAGTTGTGCAGATATGCGACGCGGTGCCTGTGGTGTCGCATTGCCACTAGCTGGTGGTTCACTGGTGGCTGCGGTTTGTGCTGGTGGTAAATGTAAAAGGAATACCGAAACGGTACTGGCGTTAGTGGCGGACCACAAAGTTGGAGAGGTTATATTAACTGAAAAAAGAGAAAATGATAATTCAAGATATCAACAAATATAATTATACGCACCATTGGTTATATACGTTTTAGCAAACAGTAAACAACGCACCATAGACCCCATCCCATCGTCAGTGCAGCGTGCTTCTATCTGCCTTTCAACAGGACGCGCTTCCAACTTTAAAAACGACATTATGTATCTTGTTATGATAGTGTAATAGTAAGTACTTACTGTAGTTGGCACATGACTGTTGGGATTATTGCGAGTTGACCTTCCTTTACGCAGTTTACGAAACGATTCGCGAAGCGATTTCTTAAATGATTTACGACGCGAAAGTTGGTCACCAGCACCAGTTAAATCGCTTGGATTTAATGTGCAACGATGAAATACCGGTACAAAGTTTTTGAAATCAAATAACACCAAACCATGCGCTGTACCTCCGGATACTAATCCCCAATTAGCTTCTAATGCTAGACTTGTAATGCTAGCTGGTGGCAGTACTTGCAACACGCCTGTTATGCTGACGCCACTTTCACTTATTGGTCCAGATTCTTCAGCTAATAAATTGGGACGGACATTCAACTGATCGTGGCCTTTCCACACAAAGCCGTCACGATCACTAACCAAGTTCATAGAGTTCAGTTTTAACACACCACGCTCTGGGGCATCACCGTTAAAGTCGGCTATAACAATTTGTCCTGCAGTGCCCCCCACTATCAATTGACCTGTTTTGGGGCATAACGCTATTTTTTTTACTGCTAAGCGAGGATCGTCTGAATATGGATCAAATAGACCCGATTTACGAAAAGGTGGTTCTCCTTCATCAATCTGTTCATTGCTTTCAATTGCAGTATCGTCGTGATTTTCATGACCAAAAATATTTGCTGTCTTAAAATTATATATCGGTTTAAGAAGCACTCCAGAGCAATCCCAAAACTTAACAGAACCGTCCTCGTGACCAGTTAAAAGTATCTCGTACTCCTGCATTGTTCCGTCACAAGACTCCACAAGTCCAACTGGTAAAACACCGCCTGTTACGGGCCAGTCAATGCTGCTATAGTCTATGTTTTGTTCATCTCCAGCGAGTAAAATGCGTTTATACACTGCCTGACTAACTTGTGAGGCCAGATAATTACACGTCACTGCTGAGGCATGTACCGATTGCAGATAAGGCGCTTTAACTGCAGGAACTTTAGCATCAGTGAGATCATAAGCGCACAACTCTTCCTCAAGCAACACAACCAGCACCTGTAAATCATCGCTTTCTTCTTTATATGTTACAAAGAAATCAATTACTTTCGACGTAAAATCAAGGCAGATTCTTTTTCCGTCGCTGCCATGTATCGAAACGCAGTTATGGTCTCCATAGGCTGAGCGCGGCATGCCTCCAGAAAAAACTATTACATCATTGCATCTGAAATTACAAAGGAAAATAAAACTAAACACTATAACTATTGACACTAAAAAAAGCCTATCAACTAACCCTCGCTTTCCTTTATAAAGCCTATTTATACTTTTGCATGGGTCTGGACCATAAGGGACATAATTTACATTTTCGGGTGGTTCCTCACTTGCAATGATCCAGCTGGCGTAAGAGCCATCTGCATGGTACCAATTGAATTCCGTACCAGTAGAGTTGACAAACAAACCTACACTTTGACCATGACCGGGCGCAATGTAAGCACGTTCAACAGCTGACTGATCCAAGTCCCACAATACACAAAGTCCGCGATTGTAAGCGATAAGTAGTTTGTTTAGTGCATTGGGAAGTTGGCGTATTGACTCGATAGCACCTGGATTGAGTTTGTAACTTGGTGGTACTTTTTCCAATACCATATCATGATATATGACAGGTTCACGTATAGTAAAAGACTTTAAGTCGAACTGATAGATGTTGCCGCCTTCAGTTCCGATCCATACAAGATAGTTGTTTAGCGAGCAACATAATGAAGATACTTTTTTCAACTTTCCATCAAAGGGAAGAGTTTTAATTGGTACCAGCGTTGTTCCCACTGGCTCCCACAATATAAGTTGATTTGCTGCAGTTAATGAGAGTATACGACCAGTGCCATAAACCCATTCAAGTAGTTGAACGTTTAATTCAGATGCTGAGTTATTGACCAAGGTATGTTGTGCATATAGCTCAACGCCTGGTTGACCAAAGACTTTGACAGCTCCAGTCTGTGTTCCAATAGCCATAAGTTTTGAAACTGGATCATATGCCAAAGCAGAGGGTTTGTGCGGGAAACCATGTTGAGCGGTCTGTAATTGAAAAACATGTAAGCAAGATGGTTAATGTTAGAAAATGAATATTCCACAATAAAATTAAGGAAAATTTTGTAACCCCAATCACCAGGCAAAATTTAAGGCGTGTACCCCATAAATATAGAGTAGAGTTTATAAAATTTAAAATTGAAATATTCTCCAAGATTCATTTTGAATTTCACAATGATATAATTAAATACGAAATAAAAAGTTTTATGCAAACCTGTATAAACATGATCTAATTTAGTACCAGCAACCATTATGACCTATAATTCTATTGTTTAATATTTTTTCCATTAAAAAATTTACGATTTTATTTCTTAAAAGATCTTGACAATTGACAGTCTTTGTGAGGGCGCTCGTTCTGTACAATTTAGGTCAGTTAACATTCTTAGTCATTCAGATGGATAATATAATTTACAAGCAGACAAGAAAAGTAAACTTGACAACAAAATTTAAGATATAAAATATATTTACATTATGCCTAAAATTTGCCCCACCCAAAAAAATACCATTGGAAAATATATTCTGAACCAATACTGTATTGATAATCATTTTCGACTTTAATATTTATTGTATTATACCCTGTACTACGTTTGATACATTCTGTATTTCTTCTATGCACATATAACTTTTATAAGTTTGTTTACCTTCGTAATGAGAATTATAATTTGTTGATGAAACAGTATTGTTTGCATTATTAGCACATTTTTTCTCGTATATTTTTCTTAATCATTTATAATTTAATCATAGGTAAATAAATTAAAGTTTCGACCTCATTACAGGTGCTGCATTTTACACAATCGTGGTGACTGTATTTGGAAATCTTATCAGCTAGAAATACTACGCCTATCAGTACCAACAATATTCACCCAATATATTTCCCCATTTATGTAGAATACTAAGAATACTAATACTCTGGCCAACCCGTTTGTTCATGTTGTACATAACACAGCCAACTTTATCTTATCTTTAATGTAATGCGTTTGTGTTGGCTCATATGTAGTTTATGCCAAACTGCGCTATGAACACAACATATTTATTTTAGGTCGATGACAATAAATGTTTTGTATGCGTTCAGTATATGTATATTAATATTTAAGTTTAATTTCTTGATTCTTTGCTCAACTTCTATAGATCTATCTAATGATGAGATATATATGAGAGGAATAAAATATTTCGTTACAATAAATTTAAATTAAAATTTTAATTAATTCTTGCATCATAGAAACAGAGATGAATTTAAAGAGGAGCTAAAGTTTATATAATTAAATAAATTAAACAATATGAAAAATATGGAGCTAATATAATAAATATTGGAGCTATTTGTTGAAAACTGAAAGGAAGTTAAAATACGTATAGGTATTATTCTTGGTGCTTAAATACTGTTAAAAAAACAGTATCGCGACAAGGTGACGCTATCTAGGTGACATCATTGAATTAACCGTCGTAACCAACTTCGACTCAATGATGGCGTCGTCATTGAACAGCAAGTGCATTCTCGCCATTTCTTTGTGGCCAATTTTTGCCTTTTGCTTTATATACAGTTTAGGTCTTCATTATTATATTATTATATGATTGCTTTAATTACTTCTACTGCATAACTGTGAAGGTATTAATTATCCTTTAGCTTCATAAATTATCTTAATAATGTAATATATACGCCGTTGTAATCATTCATAGTCCAACTATCTGGGAGCAACACATGTAAATACATACCTTGCGATATGCAAAGAGCTCCTTCTGTAGTCGTTGTCGTTCAGCTGTTGGCTGCTGACCCTTTCCCCGTATAAACTTCAACATAATTATATTATTCGACTTATGTCGTCAATTTACAAACCTGAAGGAGAAATATTTATTATTAGTTTTATTTATATACGAATTAGCATAAACAATGTATAATACTGGGAGTCAGGGGCGACTATAATTGAAAAACTTGAATACCAAATAGCAAAAGAAAATGTTACCACAGATTGTAATATGAACTCAACTTACTTAACTTGTTAAACAAGTTGTACCAAGGTATAAAATGAACGCCGGATATTTTATGTAGGTGTAAAAGAGTTACTTGTAGGATTTTATGTATATCCACAATTATTGATGCAAACATGAACGAAGAAAATCTTTAAATCTAATCGAAAATCCTAACAAATATTGTAAAATCATTTGGAATAAAATAATTGAGAAGATTTTGTAGAGCGCAATAAAAATATGTTAATGAACTCGCTATTCAGCGCAATGAACGAATGAAAATATACTTCTTTGAATAACATATACAGATACACAGATATGTATCCGAAGGCATTAGATTACTACTGGTCATTTGGCACAGTATGCGTGACAACAAGCCATAACGCATTTGAATGCATATTTGTTAGGCGACGCCCGAATATCTATGAGCGTTCGTTGCTAAAAAGAAATGTCTACACATTTATTGCAAATATACAGAACATGTGAAACAAACGCATACAGAATTAAATAAATTTAATTATAATGATAAAGACTATACATTGATGTTCTTATTAAAATTAAAAAGATACACGCAATATTCACGAAAATTATCAGAAAGTCTGCATGTGTGAGAGAGACATACGAATACATACATACAACAGAGTAGCGTTCACCTCGGCTGAGTCATAAATATAGAAGAAACACAAATATGTAGACGTACTTCTTAAATCACAATTTTTGCATAAATACCGAACTGTGCAGGAATGTATATTTTGTTTTACTCAATGTTGCGCCTGTGTTATCGTCGCTATCACTAATACAGCTGCAGTTGCGCGGAAACAACCGAACTGACCCGATTTTCATGTACTTTTTTTCCACTTTAGTCTGTGCGCTTGCGAACTGACTCCAAAAATTTTTGCACAGTAAAGCCAACGAATTAAATAATATATATATATATCAGTTGGTTAAGCACTAATTTAGCAGGTTGAGTACAGGTTATTTTTCTGGGGCTCCTTGAAAAAATTGCACGACACGTTAATGCCGAATTTTCTTTCCAACTGTATCGACGTAAAAAAACATCGATTGCTATTAGGGATGGAAAACCACCCAGTTGACTATCGGACTTCAAGCCTCAAATGTATTTATCAAGGTATTTGAGGGTGTAAGTGAAAAGGTATGATTATGTGAACCCTCTTCAATGTAAAATATTAATTTATATATTAATTTTGATTTTTTAATTTAACATTAAACTTTATTTTCGTTTTTAAAATAACGAAAACAAATAAGCCAAGCTTTCTTATGAAATTATTTTTCAAGTTGCATTTCTATGGTATACTGCAATATTAATTATAATATGTAATAATATTGCTACAATTTTTTAGTTTTAAATTAACAATAAATAACGTTACTATTCAACACTTAACGGAAATATATATATGAATCACTATGATTTACATTTAAAATGAGTCAGTTCGCTCATAGTACGACTCAGTTATTCATTTGTTCATCATCATATTTTAGCCGCTGCTCTTTGTAAACAAAATTGAAACGAACTAAACAAAACAATACTTATAGCACTGGCTAGAGTTTCGATTCTAAAATCGGCATCTTTTGGTAACACACATGTAATAATCTGTTGTTAGGACATTGTAAATGGATACGTATCTTAGTATACCCGTTTTTATTATTGATCAAATGGTCACCGCGTTTATAACTATTACTTTGTAGGGAAAACCTTTTCAAATGGCTAAGCGGATCGGTCCGATTGATAAATTTCGACCTGCCAAAAAGCTTAAATTAGATATAAGTGTAAATCGTGGTCGGATCAGCAATATCTCGTCAAATGTTGTAGATTTGTGGACGAGTGATGATGACGATGCCGTTTTGTCAGCTACCCAAAAAGCAGAGGAAGAGCACCGCCATACTGATGGTCTACAAAATACTCAAAACGAATTCACCTTCAGAAAATTTTCTGCTCAAGCTTTTCAAGCCACTACAAGCACACAGGGAATATTTAATGATGAGATGTTTAGCAGCCGCCTCTCGACAAATTTAGACATCGAAGAAATACTTGAGACTGATGACACTAAAGTTTTCTTACCTGATAATGAATGTGGCAAAAAATCAGAGCCTGAAGTAACGGATTCTTCCACTACGAAAAAATTGAGTGATTTTTCTACAAGCCGGGCGAAAGAATCAAGGCGTCAATTGGCACAGGAGCGTCAGCTCAAATTTTTAATGGAACGCGTTGATGTGCTCAAAAAGGAAAATGACAAATTGCAGAGAGACCTGGCAGATAGTAACAATCAGGCTAGTATTAAGGATGGCGAGGTGAGCGTGTATAATATTAATAAAAGGCTCTTAATATATATATTTTATATTCGAAAAGGTTGGTTTACTACGCACCGAGATTCAACAAGCGCGTAAGCTGCTCCAAGCTGGTAAGGTCGATAGGCTAACGATGGTGGAAGATGAGAAAAAGGAGTGTATTGAAAAAATATCAAATGTATTTAAGCATCTTAGAGCTAAAGACACAGAATTAAATTTTACAGAGGTAGAGTTGACCGAACTTAAAATTAGGAATGCGAAAAAAAACGAACGGATTCACAAAGGAACAGATTCTGACGCAAGTCGAAGTTTGCTTCGTATTGAAAATTTATGCATTGAATTCCCTTTTGCAAAAAAAAAATCCATAAAACCGAAAGGATATGTGTACGAGTACACGAAAGATAAATGCGGTAAGAAAAAGCAACGAACTTTTTTTGAAGTGGAGCTAGAGCATCTACTTCTTAATTTCGCGCAAATGCAGTCAGAGCCTGAAAATGTTAAAGCAGTTATAAACCGTATATTTGCTTCTGCGGGCAGGGTTTTTACAGAGTTTTGGTTCTATACCCAGAGTTTAGAATTACAACAAACCTTTATGATGTATCCCCATCGTCCTTTTGATTTACACTCAGATCAAAATACACAGATGCGCTCTTCGTTGATTCAGCCCAGTGCTTTATATGGCATGGAACGAGCAGTCCTATTACGCCGTTATATTGGAACATTGGCGTTAATATGCCAAAAACAATGCATAATTTCGCACACGTTGCTATCAAGAAAGTATGACAAATACTGGATAACAAAATTACTAAGCGAAGCGATTACTTACTTAAGTTACTCCTTAGAGGTTGTCGAACATTCAGGTGTTCTTGAAGCGACTTCTTCGTTTCTTCACAGTTTGCTGAGCTATATAAATTCGAAAAAAGACTCTATGTCCGGAACTCAGAATGGCTTTCTTTTTGATTTATTAAAACAATTGGTGTTCGCTCGTCCAAGCCCCTGGGTTTTCAATGAGTTAAGTGCGTGCATGCAACTGTGCACACGAAAGAGTCAGCTAATGGCAAGAATGTGTGTAAATTGCCCTAATGACTGCTTTGTGTCGGGTCGGATTCGTTCGCTTTACCGTTTTGGGCAGAACTCTTGTTTAATTCAGGTATATGCACGACTGCTTGAGTTATGCTTTCATAGCGATTTGCCTCTCCAACCTAGCCGGTTCAAGCTTTTGCTATCGATATGTGAGAATCACGTGCGCTTCGTTTACCAATGCTTCACAGTTACACCTGAATTTATACTAAGAATGTTTTCACTTCCATCATTTACTGATTACGAAAAGGATAATGAGGACACATTATCCAAAGTTGTCGGTATGCACTTCGATGAAAGTCTTATTAATAACATTGACGCCAATTCCCAAAAGTCCTCGCTCGATGCAACAAACGTGTCTAAAATAACTTTAGCCCCTGCGCAGGAAAAACTTCAAGAAATCCGATGTGAGTGCTATGTAAAACTATGCCTGAGTGTTGTCACTATCGTTTACCAAATGATGCATCAATGGATATTTCAAAACAATAAATCAGGTATGAATGTGTAAGGATAATAGTAACGCTACTACATAAATATCTTTATTCAGATATTTCACGAGTTGGAAAAATCTCACAGATTGCTGTACATCTATTTACGCTTATCTTTCGCGCATATTACCTCTCCTCCATTTTCCGAGACTTTGAAGAAACAACAAAACATTATTTATCTCTAGTATGCAATTGGTGGCAAAGCCATGCGCGACTTTTGAAATTCGAAGACGTGCATTGTGAGTATAATTTAATACCTTCTGATATTGTTACATCAATTAAACAATTACATTGTCAATTAAGAACGAATTCCGAAACACTTCTATATAGAATTAAATTTAGTTATCTTGTATGCAAAATCTAAAGCATCGTCATTATTTTGATATTTTCAGTACGATTTTTGAGACAATTGCAGAGCTTGCATTTTATGTTAAAACCGTTACACAAGGATGCAAATCCTACCAATCCAAACGATGACTTATTAGAGTGGAAGCGAATCGTGAGCAATGAAAATGTACCTCAATATATTTCAAGAGAAACTCCATTAGATTCTAAACATTGGGATTTATCATATCATTTTATGGGTTACTTTTTTAATGGTCTAAAAAGAAAATCTTATAATTTTGAATGAGTGAGGTTTGTACATAAGTCATTGCCATATTGTTATAATTATTATACACAAATATACTTATCCAAACTGTAAATTTGATAAGCATAAAAGCGATATCAATTAAAATAGATTAAAATAAAAATCACACGAACAAGCTAGCCTAGGCTGACTTTGCTTTTCATCCAAAATGTTGTATCAGTATATTTAAACACTACAACATTTTTTAAAGGTTCTAAATATATTTATTTTTAGAGAGGCAATCAGCACTTAAGGTTGAGATAAAATATTATATGATACTCGAGTTATATTTTTTTTTAGCAAAAGTATACATTAAATATAAGAAAAATACTGTGTAAGAATTGTATAAAAGTAATACCTAGTTTAAAGATTTAGGTATTGTATACATGAACATTTACTTAAAATAATCCGACACACTAGGCATGTAAAAAATATATGAGATAATAAGAATATTAATGATTAAATAGTCGTTGTCATTAATATACACGAATTTAAATAGTGTAAATTACCATTTTAGTGGTGTGCTTTTGTTTTGATAAGCATTAGCTCTGAAATAGTAAAAAGTAAAGACGGTATGATTCATTTTTTGTTATTCTGTTTTGTCGATTGCTGAAAGCTTACTTTACAACTCCTTGTGTTTGTGCAGATGTAAGTGTGATAAGCGGCATCAGTCGTTCGACGAAGCGTTCATAGTTGCGTTCCAGTTCCCGCTGGTAATCTTTTTGGTCAGATAATATGAGATTTCTATTTTTTTTTAGAGCATCCGCACATCGTTTTGAAAATTCTCGAAAGCACAACCGTAATTTATTCTGATGCTTCGTAGGTATAGTCGTGCCATCGGATAGATTGGACAAAAATACGCTAGCCATTTCCATAGGTCCCTGATTAACAGTAGTACCAATGCAGCCCTGTAAGACCATTTGTAATATTTTTGGATCGGCCGGCTCTTGATTTGTAGCGGCAGCTAACTCCAATGTCTTCTTTTGGATGTCTTCTATTATGAGTACATGTTAAGTACATTTTAATTATATTGTGTGGCATTTTCGAAAAATGATTTTGAACAACTTCTTTGAAATATATTTTCATAATGTAAATCTTTGTTTATACTACATTTTTCTCAAATATATATATTTATATATTTAAACAACAGTCTTTCTATTTATACTTGAAGTCATGAATGAATAATTTTTTTGCAAAGTAAAATTTTTAGATTTTCCATTTAAGTCAATGGAAACTATACATAAAAAAAAATTAAGATACGAAAGTAAATTATATTAAATACAAACCTATGGCGACTTCAATTGGCTCCAATTGAAATTGCGCTCTATTGATTACTTGGATACGAGTTTTGACGTATGGGAAGTGGTTTGCGGTTGTCAATATTGTTTTTCGCTTGCATTGCTCATGTAATTCTCCATGTGCTTTTCCGTTTTTAGTGAAGGGCGTTGCAAATATAAATCGTTCTAATAAAAGAAATAAAAAAAAGAATAGTCGTCGTGGGTACAGATACATTCTACATTGCACATATTTACTTATATTAAAATTTCGTTCAAAGTAAGTCTCACGGTGACGCATTTCGTAGGTTTCGAAGAACGGTTCGACATAAGTTATTTGTATATACGCCTTTTCTGAATCTAATGTATTTGGGTCAAAATTATTGGAGTCCTTAATAATGTGCACGGAATCAGGACCGAATCTTTCCGTATAAAAGTTCTAAAAGAGATATGTTAAGATTTTACATAATTTCTTAATGACATTTAAGTACCTGAAGTCGACTAAATATTTCTGGCAACTTTGTTAATGTTGGCTCTTTGTAGATGAATTCTTGTTGGTCCAGATCTCCAAACTTTGCTCCATAAAAGCCAACACGAAAATAAGTTCCAAATACTCGCTTACCCTAATAAATATACAATGTTTAAGTTAACGGGTTAGTACATATTTGATAGACTCAACTATGTATGTTCTACTCACGTGCAGCTGTGCAATTCGATTGAACGCTTCTTGCAGTTTGCCATGAATTTTTCCGAGCTTGTGAAACTCCCGGTTCGCCTCACAGATAGGAAGTAATATTTTATAAACTTCATTCATAGCTTCATACATGCCTGCGACTTGAAAAGAATTGGATGCCTCTTCCAGCAACGCCTTTAGTCCGGTCTCTGTGAAGTGGTTGCCTAGACAGATTCCATCTTCGCCTGGACTAAGAACATCATCCGACACAGCAGACTCCATAAACGTATTTGGTGATATGCGTTGAAAACTGACCGCACCGATAGGCAAATGGGTTTGCGATTCGAGCATACTTAGATATTCCGCAACTAATGCAGCCCCATGTATATAACACATTGCCGCCTCCGTATGATTAGCACGTTCACGGTGCTTTTTAGCCATGTTTTCCAGCCATGTAAGCCGCAAATCTGGATTGTTTTGATATCCTTTTGCTATGCGATTCATTAGGTCGAGCAACATTTCTGGGTCCTCTTGATATTCTTTCATTTTAACGGTGTCTGAGAGGATCATATGCAGATTGAACAATAGATCTTGCACTTGTTCTGGGAAAGAAGTTTCCTGTAAGTCTGCATCGGACTCAGCGTAAACTAAAATTGTTTTTAACGCACGACGAAGCGACTGTTCGCTAAAGGAAGCACTCGTACCAACCAAGGAGCTTAATGACATAGTTACCTGCATCTTAACACGAGCGAAATTCTGAAATGAAAAAATTTTGTTCTTGAAATATTTTACTTTTGCCAGAGATAGGAATACAATAGGAAGTTATATACGAACGTACTTACATTTCCAATCTCAAAGTTTTGTCTCATCAGTAAGTACAATGATGCAGCTGCCTGTGAACGAATTCCTGGAAGCTGGGATGCACAATGCTTTAAAAGTAATAGGCATAAGTCCGCACATATATCAGTTTCTTCGTCAAACAATAGATTGGGAAATTTAAATATCAAGGCCCGCTGAGAAGCAAACAAATTTTGTAGAGCCAATGTCGATTGATTGCGGGATAAGCTATGCAACAAAACTTTAAGTACTGTCCCAAGAAGATTGTGATGAAGATTGGTGGCAACGTGCACTATTATTTCTAAGGAATCTAGTATGATAAGTGAGATTTCAGTAGAAAGTGAACCTTCAATAAAATGACTAATTTCGAGCTCCGTTTCGATTTTGGATGCTGTTTCACTATACTGTGAACGGTATGGCATGTGATCCTTGCGCCAGCGAAGTTTTTCTGTAGAATTGCGATCTTTGCGACGATTAATCAAATCATAACGCGCAGAATTTGTTCCTCTAATGCATTCTTCTAACTTTTCCTTTACATCAGTTGGCGCTGTTTTTCGAAAACTATGGGTATTGGTTCGTTTTAAAGTGGGCAACCTCTTTTGACCCGAGTACTCGAAAGCTTTTAAGCATGTGTTTAGTACTTGTAACATTTGGTGTACACGATGCGGGCTTAAGCCAAGTAACCAGCGATAAAGAACAGTCCGTTCCAAATTTTTTAACACCCAAAGAACACACGCCAATAAGTGACGCGTATTCTCTGCGTTTAAGGGAACTTTGCTTTTCGATGGCTCTGTCATGTAGGAATATACGCGGCTACCAGAAATAGCATATGCTACTTCAGGGCTGATAGTGGCTTTGGCTATAGTCTGATGAGGTCCTTGATAGTCTTCAAGTTGGCCCATTTGCTGCAGGCGATCGTGATCTTGAGCATCCGATAAATATTGATGAAGTTGTGAAAAACTATCCATGACTATCGACAGCAGAGGAATATAGAGTGAAGCTACTCGGCAGCGTACATCTGCGTCGTACCGTGAGTCATGTGAAGTTAATAGATTACGCACGCAGTTAATTGCTTTTCCATGCAGATGCGGACTGGGAATTTCCATGACAGTGGCCAAATCAGTTAATACAATGCCGACGAGAAAATGTTGTTGACGAAACTCAGAACTTAGGTCAGCGTGCAAGGAACGTTCAATGGAGCCCTAAGGAAAAATATTTAAATTTGAAATTATTTTAATATTAAAATTAATATAATAATTATGATACGCACATATGAAGTCTGACTAGTACTTGATGTTGAGCTGGGAGTAGGGCTGCAAGGCGCTGAGAATGTCGTATAAGAAGTACCGAAGGGAAAGTTTAATGCTATAAAATGTTCGTGACTGCAAACAATTCGGTGAAAGTCAATTTTATAGCTCATCAACTCAGGTCCGGAAGCATTTCTTGATATTATCAGTTTCGAGTATATTTGAATTAGGCCAAAAACAAATCCGCGATCCCCTATGCTTAATAGATCAAAAATTAAAAAGCTTAAGCTTGCGTTTAATGACTGCGCTAATCTTGGGTCTGTGCTGTGGTACTCCATGACTTTGTTAGTTACAATCGCAACAAGCGCGGCTATGTCTTCATTATATTGTTGTGAGAACCGGTGTTTACGTGGAGCATTTAAGGTACTCGAATTGTCTAAGTGCTCTATCATAGACTTGACCATAAGCTCAAAAAGAAACCAAGAATTAGTCATTGCCAAATCTGCGGCTTTTCCCCTGGACAATGTATATTGCAAGGCGAGCTCTTCGTGAAGCAAGCGTAGAGTCATATCAGATTCTAACCCTGCATTCGAAAGTGCCTCATTTTGTAGTTCTAAAGGAAGGTAAAGTTAAAGATAATCTCTGATATAACTAATGGGTTACATACCTGCAGTATCAGAGCTTAAAACATCATAACTGTCATATGTTTCTTTTGATAAGAATTCATTTGCACCATTTCGCTTTTTGCACCGTTTTGTGTTCAACGGGTGTGGTATTTTGCACTGAAACTGAACATACGTGGAAAACAAGCTCTGGCGTCCATATTGATCAACATCACTTAATATTGACAAACGTGCTGAAACCAAACATAGCACTTCAAACACTGTCGAACCTAAGCACATAGTTTGTCCACCTACTTTATGTGTAGTAACTAGCAATTCAATTAGCTTATCTAACACAAGGGGCAAATGCTTTACAAGTGATTCCCGATTAGCATGCTCTATATCCAGCAAACACTTTTTTAATTCAGCTTCCATATTACCTTCGCCTATATGGGAAGGTATATTTCCAGAGTCTAAATATTCGCACATCAAAAAGAATTGATCGAGGTGCGCATCCAATGTGTGAACTGATGTGACAGCGGCTACGTTAATGGAAAATACTGAGCGATGGTTGTCGAGCCATTTTATACCAGGAAGGTGAACATTCGGTGGTATAAAAGAATAGTTTTTCGGGGGTGCTTCAACCATGACAGGCAAGTTGAACTCGCCAACTTTGAGTTTTCCATCTTCAAGAAGTGGTAACCAGGTGTATCCGATGGGAGTTTCCACCGGGAGCTGTAACTCGTGTGGTTTCTTTTGGCATGATACATGGTAGATGGTAAACAATAAATGATGGTGTTGTTTTATAGAAGCGGGCAAGGCAATCTTGATCTCATCATAGAACGAGGGGCACTTGTTATGGTAATTGACGCATGTAAATACATCTGTTGCGTATTCTGGGCATGAAGATTTTCCAAATATGGCATTGACTGCCTCACTTGGAGTTTCTCCTGCAAAAAAATAAGGAATTAAGTTTATTTTCATTATCTTTTAATGATTATTTTTTACCTGACATCAACTGTATGCGAATTGCTATGTTTCGAGCAGAACCTGCACGTGCTGAAAAATTTAGCTCTTTGGGAGACACAAATAGTAAGTTCCGATAGCTATAGTGTGGATTATAAATAGGAAGAAGTGGAAACTCTAATATTTCTTTAACTGGGCGTGTCTTAGTTCCTCCATGCGGCTCGATTTTTGCCAATTCTGGTGTTAACGCATTTGTAACATCTTCAACACATGGCGATATTTCCAACTTTATAGATCCCGGAATACATTTATATTTCTTTATAACCGTACATGGCCGTTTAAGTTCGGGTAAAATTTTGTATAAGTCTTCATCTTTCATTTTATCGGGCTCTTGCTTAAAGAAACTAGGCACCGTTAAGGTTATAGGACGAAAATTTTCAACAACATTAGCGAAATCATCAGGTGACCAAGAGCGACGTTTTTCTTTGCGTTCCAGTGAACCGCGCCTTGTAAGAGTACCGCTCATATCATTAGCTTTTCTACGAAGCTGATCAAAGCTACTAGTAGAAGACTTTCGATCTAAGCTATTTGAGCTTGCAGCAGAACCTAAAGCAGCAATGCTACCACAGTTAGACGAGTCTCTATCGCCAACGTAGGCGTCCTTGTTCTCAAAGTTGTCTCCATTAAAAATGTTCGTCAAGTATATAGCTGTCCATGCAAAAGGCATTCGATATTTTCCAAGGCGCTCACAATAATCCATTGCATTGGACTTCACTTTCTCCCTGTATTTTTCCTTGTCTTCTTTTAGATATGGCTCCACAGAATTATTTATGTCACCCTGTAGTACTTTTTCAAGTCTTATAACGAGAAATAAATCATTACTTGGATAGGAAATTTCAAATATAGCCGAACGACTTTGTGTGCTAACGTCTGCACAACGAACATGGGTTGACAGCATAAGCTTTAGACTGTCCGAATTCATATCAAAGTAAAAATTTTCAGATACTTTTTGACGCTCTTTGGCATCATAAATGGCCATTGATGCGAAGATAGGTTCTACTTCTAGCTCCAATCTGAGTTGCAGGCATTTAACGTGTATGCGATGACCTATATGCTCTACTGGCAACTCCGCTTGTAGCCTACGCTCAATAGCTTCTTCAACTTCAATTTCGGGATAGAGAGAAAAGAAAGCTCCTTGACGATCTTCTTGCCGACGGGAGTCGTTCAATTGATCAATCTGATCCGGCGGTACATTATCCAATAAATTTGGAATCAGAGGATCATTAACTGAGCGTCGTAAGTCGAAGCTAGCCCAAGAACTACGAGGAGTTAGCGTATCGGTACAAGAACTAACTGAAGCTAAGCTAACTATTGACTGCCTAGAGCTAGGTGTGCAGCTTTCACTTTTGTCCGTAAATGATTCGTCAAAAGAAGAAAAATCGTTGTCAATCTCGAACTCTTGCTGGTACGCCGAATGGCTAGTAGTTTCGCGATCATTACGTTCACGTGTAGAACACGAGCTTGAGTAATGGCGATGTGCGTATTCGACAACTTTCCAAGGACTCGTGTAACAACGAACACTCTCCTGTACATGTTTGGGTAACTCAGAACTGAAATGTATATTAGTTGAATACAAAATTTCACTTAAATTCTTAATGCTTACATATTCTCATTAGGTATAATGTGATCTACAGTGCGAATCTTTCGTGGTATTGTTTTGACTGTAACATCTCCTTGCGGAAAGTCCAAAATATGCTTTAACGGATCTCGGTTAATAATATTCATGTGTTGATTTAGAAATTCTTCATAATCAAGTGGTTCGGTAAGTGAGAGCTTAAAAATAAAAAATTGCTTTTAATATGTTGCAACAAAAAGATTTAAATCTGTCACAAACTTACGGTCGAAGAGCACATCGATGTGCAGTGTGTGGTCTTAGACTGCATATGCACACTTATGTTTTTCCGGACATCAGCCGCCGGTTGCCTGTAATATAGGTACACATGAATATGTCTCTGTAAATGGCAAATGGCAACAACAACAGCCGTCCATAGAATTAAAAGGGTGCGGTTGTTATAAGTTAAGCTTTCGTCCACATCTTTAACTTACTTTGACATTTTCTGCACAAATGATCTTTGGGCAGTTGACATTTTTGGAAATTACTGTGCAAAAGGGGAATTGCAAATATTTCTTTAGATATAAAAAATCAAACAATGGTAGAGAATAAATGAAAAAACTATCGAGCGGAGAGTGAACTACCCGACAGTTGACCGATAAATTGTGGTGGCTGCGCGATTTTATTGTTCTGTCGAAGTGTGGTGGAATATATTTTGAAATTTTTTCAAGTCAATTTAAAATGTTGGCACTCTTAACAAATATAGTTAAAAACGTCTGTTCTGCGAAACTTTCAATTTATTTTTATATGTTGCCAATAAATTTCGATTGATATCCAGGTGTCTTAGAAAATTCCCATTTTTTGCTGATCATATTGTAGACCCATTCCGACTGGCTTGGATCCTTAAAAGATTTAAGTGTTTATTAATACCAAGTAAAATTAAAAAAAACACGTTTATATACTTAAGATATGACAATTTATGGACAAAGTCCAAACGCTTCAGCGTTAACGACCAATAAGGCGCAACCCTGGGTTAAAAAGCGCATAAACAAATGTGGGGCTCTACAGCCCTCATGGCCTGCGAGTATGTGTACATGGGGCAAATTATTGCTCACAGTTTGTCATAATTTGTCGACGACCACATCAGCAGACAAGAAAAGGCAGAGAAATGCTGAGCAGCAAGGCAGCTGCGACGAATTCGTGACGACTATATATTTTCACTGCACATAAAAACGGATTAAGTGGCAATTAATTTGTAATGTAAATTGTTTACGAATATATTAAAGTTGTCGCAATTTTTGACGTGAAAGCTTAATATAAATATACAGAATTATTAAAAAATTATATAAGTAAAAAAACACAGGCCGATAGAAGTAATGCTAACAGAACCTGTATGTACTAAATAAGATTTTTATTCTTCATTATGCTTCTTTCATAAATTTATTGCGGCCTGTCAATCTATGGAATTTTAGCTAAATGAATTTACAATCTTGCTGACAAAAAGAGAACACTTCTGTTCCGTATATAAATATAATATATATATTATATATATTTATGAATATAACTCACTCCATCTTATCCTCAACACCCACGAACCAAAACCAAAACGGTCTGCCTGACACTCGAGCTCCTAATGTGGTGGTCGAAGAATGTTGAAGCTTGTAGGAAATGGGAATGCGTGCAATGTACTTTATGTCTTTAAAAACCTGCCAGCTGCCAGTGAAAGTGAAAACTTATCGCCCAAGTAGAGCCATTTTGCCAGAAACGCATGCAAATTAAAACAAACTATCATGTGGCTCGTTTTTTTCTTCTTCTCCTTATTTTTATTTAAAGGAGTCATATAAAATCTTTGAGAATAAAATGTAAACAATTGCCGTTTTTAGTTTCTGATCGTCAGATACCAATTGATTTTGACCAATCTTGATATTTAGCTAGGTGTAATTCTTACTTTATTGCCCCACTTTACTTAAACTCAAGGCGCGAAAGAGCGGAAGCTTACGCTAATAGGAATAGCTGGAACGGTGTCTGTAGTAGAACGGCGGAAGTAGTAGAATACAGTGTTTGAGGAAAGATTTTATTTGCACAGCAGTAGACATAAGGAATTGCTTTCGTTTATTATTGAAGGTTGTTTTATGTTTAGCGATTATAGGGAAATCTAAATACACATATTGACTATATGAATATATAAAAAATAACAGATGTTCTAATGCAAGAGATTGGCGTCAATAGCAAAAAACAAAGCTGGTATATATCGATTTATTTTCTATAGTATCTTCAAATTTTTTTATATTTCAACAGATGTTCTAACACAAGAGATTGGCTGGAATGCTTGGGAACATCTTTATTTTATTATGTCAAATCCATATATTGATATATTTTCTATGTCTATATCTATTATTTTTTTTTTCTATTTTAATTTATTTTTCTTTAATTATGTAAGATGTTCAAATATATATAATCCAGGTGTAACCTATAGTATGATGATTAATCCACTGCTGGAGCATCGTTTTGGTGAGCGACCGCTCTGAAAACACCTGACAAGTCTAACCGCATACGCCAATTAGTTGAGGCAAGAGGACGCTGCATGCCAAACGGTATATTAACAGGGGTAGCTGTTATGTACCTTTCGATTGACACGATCTGAAGGGGACATAGGCCAGCTGAGCACATCGTTCAGTGTTCAGGCAACAAAAAGCCTAGCAGCCCGGTGGACATACATATAAAGGCTAAGGTACAGATGTGTGAGTCCTTCATCGTCCACAACGCAAATTAAGAATTAAAACCAGTTGTAGCCCCGACGACAAGTGGCTAAGGACAGGCCAATGGGTCGCCATACACGTTTTGTGGTATTTGTCAACAAGTGACGCATCTGGTTCAGGCTTGCATTCCGCCAGGTAGGTGCTGGTTGCTTAACTTTATATTCTGCCGTCTGCAACAGAAGTAACCTCTCATTCGGCGCCAAATTTGGTCGAAATACGTAATGTATCCTGGTTGCAAGTTTGACCTTTCAGTCCGTTCCGAATCTCTATTACTGAGATTCCCTGCTGTGCGTATGGCGCCAGTTAAAACTCCTGTAATACTTCTGTGTATAATCACTGTCAAGCTATTCAGCGAACTACAATTAAACAAATGCCATTTTATGACAAGGACAACGAATGAACAGCACAGTCAAAACAAGGAAGTGAAGGAATGAACCAACAGGTATCACAAACGTCTACACATCAGGTAAATTTGTCCAGTCATGCTGTTGATGATACTAGATACTAGACTTGGTGGCCGCATCGGACATACATGTGAAATTATTTTTGTGATTCATGACTGAACTTGTTCAGTAGCAGCAGCCGCCCAAAGCGATCTCGTTTTTCGTATTAAAGATTCGCTGCTGTATTACTTGTGCAATTTAAATCTGACCGAAGGCACACAGTAGTCGATAAGAAAGGATGGAGGTTAGTCGGCAGGTTGTTTATGAAAAGTGCACACTTTGTGTGCATTCGCTTAATTTTCTCGTCTCTGCTAATAAGTTTGAAGATGTTCTTCATCCAAAAAGCGTGGGAAATAACTACCTTTGGGTCTTGTGAAAAAAATATGTTTACTCCAGCACATTGCGTGCCAAGTAAGCATCTACGAGGCGAGCTTGTGCTATATCTACCTATCGATTGCAAGTTTTTGGACATTAATAGCGTAAATTTTGGTATCTAATTGTGTACCGGGCCGTTTGCATGCGTTTGATTGGTGCTCTTGTTCTCAAAGTTGGCTTGAGGCTGTCACGCTGTTCAGAGCTTCTGCTTATCCCTAATTTACGTATACGCACATAAGTTGCCAGTCTGTCTGATATATTTAATTATTGGATTGAGGCATTCTCTATATGTACATGTGTCAGATATGGGCTGTTAGGACTCACATTGCAACTGAATCTTAAAAGCATTGTGCTGCATGCCGTTACAAACTTACTGGCCATGAGGTCGGGAACCCAAGTCAATGGCTTAACACATGGAACCGAGCTATCTCCCAAGCAGACGAAAAGACACATATTTCCCAATAATATTCTCACACAATCAGGTCATAAACAAAGGAAAACTGTAAGGCGTCGATGCTACTACTGGCTTGAGAGCGCTGGAAAATGCACACATTTTGCATGCCGAAAGGTCGTAGGTATGTCGACTCTCTTTTTTGGTTGTGGTCACCATATGTGCCATTCGCTGACTGCCGACTGTGCGATTTCCATGAAAAATCGCAAAAGTCAAGCTGACGCCGACTGAAGGTCTCAATGCGCGTGGACATGTGTTGTTTGTCGCTCTCGTCCACGCACACATACCTTCTCCCATGGACAGACACATGTATACGGGCTTGACGCTGGTTACACAGACAAACACGCACACACACACATTTCAGTATATATTATTATATTGTCGCCATCCTGTCTCTATGTGAAATGCTTCCCATCTGCTTAACGTTCTTATGCTTTAATTCAAGTGTGCATTTTTGTCGTCTATATAAAATATATATTTTTATCTTATTTGTGATTAAGATAGTTACCAAAAATAACATATAATTGTTAACCAACTATTATTATCAATCTTTGATCCGAGTCGAACATGTATCTTAATTGTAGGAGCGACTTAAGCGCCAGCCGCCTTCATACATGTTGCACTAGGTTGCTACAACTATAGTATGAAATGTTGTTGCTACAACAGCTTGTTGCAGCGGGATGACTGTGGTAGGAAAATCAACTTGATATTTTATGAAGCTATCGCTGCACGACTGGTTTGTTTGATCGGCTACTACAGCTTGAAATGATATACTGATTTTACAGCTACAAAATGTATTAAGGTTTGTTTTATAATTTAAAAATTTTTTTTTTGGGTTTTACTATTAATATTATTTTTTTTTATATTTAATTGCTCTTTAAATTTGTATTAATTAATTAATATAAAGCATTTCATTGTTAAAATAGCTACATTGACTTATTTAAGCTTACTGTTAGAGTGTGTTTTCGATGATAAAGATAATATATAATATAATATAAAAAGGTATATATATAATATGTATATATATATATGTATATATATATATGTGTATATATATATGTATATATATATATATTTATTAAAGGGCATGCATGTTTTTGATGCCATGACACGTGAGCTGCCTATTGCACAGTTTTTTGTCGCATAGACCGCCCTTTTGTGACGTCACACGCACAAACATGTGCACATTATGATAACGGTAAGTTTTTCCAAACGTGCATGGGTTGTTGACGTTCAAATACTTACCTGGCGTTCCTCAATACTTTTTATTACTAAGTCCATGTGTGTTCTGTTTAATATGAAGTATGATTTTTATTTAAGGCTGGATACATTTGTGTTTTCTTTTCTGTTACAATAAAGCTTAGATAAGCCTGATTTATATACATCAATGACATAGAAAATGCTGACCAGCTTATTTTGGTGGTACAATTAGGAGAAAATATTGAAATTGTTGTAGCTGAAATAGGTAGATATGGACGAATATCAGTTAGGGTCCGATTTATCAGTATCAGTAACAGTAACATGCTCCAATGAGGTCCCAAACGTAAAGCTATAAACATTTCAGAAAAAGGTGCGGAAACAAAGTCATTAGAAGTGCACAATTTAGAAAAGCGAAAAGAAAACAAGTGCAAATTAATTATGGAAATTCTAAGAAGTCACTTTTACCTGAGCTCTCCAAGTTCCAGGTTGCATGACCGGGTAAAACCCGGAAAATATCAATTGGTCGGTCCGCTACACTTGAAAACAGTCGTCAGTAATTATATTGGGCAGACTAAAAGCAATTAGCGTTTGAGACTTGGCCGAAACAATAAAGTAACGATTGTGTCTGGCACAGGTTTGCCCCGACACAGGTAGTGAACTGTTAATGGATTAGATGCAATGCTTTTAATAAGAATAAATATTTAAATACATTCAATAATATGCGCAACACTAAAAAATAAGAACATAATCAGTTTTGCAGTGCCAGATTCATGCCGGGGCTATTACATTATGCTTTGGTAATTCTAGCTGGGTTAAAAATGTGTTTTCCAAAAAAATCCGATTAAGTTACGTCTAAACATACATACACAGCGCTGTGAACACATGTACACTATATCCTTGAACTTGGAGCTTGATAAAAGAAATAAGTTGAAAAGCTATGCCGTGTCCTCAGCTTTGACGACTGTGCGGGTTGTGTCTGCTGCGGCGTCTGGTCAATGCAACAGGTAAACAGGTAAACAGGTTAGGCGGCAGTCATATCGTGCGCACCTCCACAGAGAGCTGTAAGCATTGAGCAAGGCAAGAGTACAGTTCGAGAATGGTCGACTATCAGCTGCCCTATAGTTGTGCGCGAAAGCAAGTTAAGCACATGGAAATATAAAGTGTTTTATATTCGCATGGGTTAATAAGATGAAAGTCTTATTTAAATATGCCTTCAATTCGCACATTTGCTCAGAGGCGAGCATGGCTAAGAAGAGGAAGCGTGAAGGAGTCCTGACGATACTTGCAGCTTATTTGAGAAGGTTTTTTTTACTGCTGCTGCCATAGCTTGGGCTCCTTAAGAATGCATGATCAGGCGAAACATAAACCTTTTCCTAGAATTATTTCTCTTCTGCCATTAACTGGTTTCTGGCCACAGAAAAAACGGACATGAAGCGGGCAAAGAATCTTTGTTTAAAACAAATACAGATGAAAGTATCTTAACATAAAGGAGTTTGGCTATCTGCCAATGCACATCTATCATGTTCTTCCACTCTACATGAATTCAACAGCATTTTTCACAGCTGATTAGCCAAAGAAAGTAACAGAACAAGCAGTAAGTTGTTGGTGATGTTCCATAAGTAAGTCACACCAAAGTAATGTTTGATCTACTAAGTTCAATAAGGACCTATCACATTTTAACATGAAGAGTCTAGGCCTATGACGCCTATACCCACCGCATAGTTCTCAGCTGCATAATGCTCTGCTCTCAGTAAATCGCATGACGCGTTTGCCACCAACTGCGAGTTTGAATTACTGGATAATAGAAGAACTGAAACAGTTTTCCGGACGCACTGGGAGTGACAGCACGAACCTCACACTTAATGCCTCTGACTCAAATAGCTGCCGCGTGGGCAGTCCGTGGGGCCCAGTTCCACACTCCATACAGTTTTGCCTCCTCATTGCGAACGCTATAGGCAATCATAGAGTTGGGCGCACAGACTTGGCGACTGTGACTGGCTGTGTGCGGAGCAGCCTCAAGTTCGCGAGGCGACCAAACGCAAACGCAACCGCTTTTACATGCAAGTTGATAAAAATTAAGAGTCGAGCCGACATTGCCTCTCCCTTTCCTAAGATTTATGTAAACAGCACACAGTGGCTCTCCAAGCTGCTGTTGCTGATACGGACGCTGTCTGCCTCTGTTGCAAATGTTGCAAAACTGTTGTAAAGAAGTGGGAAAATGACCAATTGTGTGGAATTTTACATGGCGGTGTTAAAACTGACTCACTATTCAAGAAGCAGTATCCATAGTTGCAGCGTTCGCTCTACTGACTCATTATAATTCACTTCACATTAAGCACACAATTTGGGGTTGGACTAAGTCTGTGCAGCTTATGCCGCAGAAATCCGCACAATTCAATCTGTTTAAAGAATACCGCCTATTGCACACAGAACTCACATGCGTAGTATCACCAGATACGATGACGATGGCATCCCGACGACGACGACTACCGGCAGATAAGTCGCGTCAGTAACAACTCGTTTGCATATGGCATCATCATCAGCAGCCACAAAACAAAGTGAGCCTAGAGGCCAGACGTTTTGCCAGCTGTGCCTTAATATGAATGTATGTCTGAAAGTCTCAATGGCGAAGTCCCTTCGTTACAAGCATATAGAGCTGCAGATGCTGCAATTCAAAAGTCAGTTGAAAATATGACACAAATGGCGCCGCCAGCAGCAACAGCCGACAAGCATGCATGTCGTATTTTGCTCCACATCTACGAAAAAAAAATATATATATATATGTATATATATATATCGCCGGCTACATACATATATTTATACATTTGGAAAAAGGTTAATTATTAATATTGTATTTTGCATTTATATTTTTATATTAAATTACCAATTTAGTTTTCAACTTTGTTAAAAGATTAGTTTGATCTGCAAATAAATTAACTGTATCAATATTCAGTAACAACTTGTTCGTATTGTAATGGCGAAAATATTGTTGTTAGAAATTCTTAATTAAATATTTTATTCTTTATACCAGATTGAAGAGATGTAAATATACTAACCTACATATACGAGTAAGAAAGCATTTAACTAAAAAGCTTGCCTCGTGTTTCATTCATAAAAAAATAACGTTAGACCGTTGCGTCGAGCATGTTTGACGGCTGAGCTGCAATGTGGAAAATTATATTCTGAATTCCCACATATAATTAGAGACGTGACACGAAGCAACCTCGTACCGATTTTATCATCATATGTAGTGCTTTAGCCTTTTGGAAAAAAAAAAAAAATATATATATATATATATATATATATATATATATATGTATATATAACGATTGAGGCTTTAGCCTTTTGGAAAAAAAATATATATATATATATATATATATATATATATATATATATATGTATATATAACGATTGAGGCTTTAGCCTTTTGGAAAAAAAAAATATATATATATATATATATAACGATTGAGGCTTTCATACAGAGAAACAGACTGACTCACAGCTGATTAGCATATGTTTTCACGATAACAAGATTTATTTATATAGATTTATGTATAGGATATAGGTATAGAAAAAAATATTATATTTCATACAATTTGAAATACAATCTGTTTGCACCCGATAGTTGTCCATCTACATTCGAACGGAAAAGTTTAACACGCGCTCACCTCCAATTGCAACGCAACTGGTTCGATCGCGTGTTGTTTTTAGCATGAAACGAACGTGTTGGGTCCTCTCGATACCGAAACGTACTCCCGTGATTATTAGACGTACTGTGTTGCTGACTGTCGGACGTGTTCTGAGAGAATGCGGTAAAAAGCGAGAATAGTTTCAAAAGTGTCCAAGTGTGAAAAAACATAAACAAACACAAATTTACGCCTATGAGAAGTAAAAAGTTTTATGACACCTTATCGCTACTTAAATAAATATAAATATAAATATAAATATAAATAAAAGTATAAACATAAATATAAATATTAATATTAATATAAATATTAATATAAATATAAATAAAGAATAAATATTTGATAAAAGGTATTATTAACACCTTATCAATTCCAGTGTAACTTTAACTCAAATAAAATAATTACAAATACAATTCAATACAGTTCAAGACCGTTTTGTGGATTACGCGTTTAGTTCAAATTATAAAATAAACAAAATTGACCCAAAATATGGAAGTCAAGGCAGAAAAACTTTACATGCAATTGAATGCAGCCGAGCTTGAAGCCATTATCAAAAAAGGTAGGACACTGAAACCTGTAAAAAAAACCCAATCAAAAATATATATAAAGCACAGGTATCTGAAATATATTTGTATTTATATAATATTTATATTTATATAATGATACTTAGTACCATTGGTTGTAGACAATGCAGCAGGAATAGTTTATAAATTTGTTCAACATTTTTTCGAACTGCTCCAACTAATCATATTATAATACATTTTGCCATGCAGTTTTTATTCTGTTTTTAAACAGAACCTCGAACCAAAACAGCAAACAAAACATTTACCGACTATAAATATTAAATAAAAAATTACTCGCAAAAGTTTGTGTTTCCACTAATAACAACAGCTGTCGAAATATTGTTTTAGTTCCTATAATCTAGTATCATTCACCATATAAAGTGACCACGTTTTCATACATACATATATGAAGAGCGAACAAGTCTGCGAAAGTAAGGCAGATAGATTAATAATGTCTACAAGGTTAAAAAGTCGATATAGAATCAGCACAGTTTTAATGCAATCCTATTTTTTGTTAAACTATTTCTTTAGAGAGAAATGGGCACTCTCACTTTACTGTCCTTACATTTTTGCCTTTGATTGTTTATCAGAACCAGACGGGTGAACAGCACTGAAACAGGCGGCGCCAACTAAAAAGGGGCGCCATTTGGCAATCACATTTAGTTTTGGGGTACAGTTATCCGTCGCCTTGGGAAGCCATGCCCTCCCCAGCTCCCTTGGGTTCACCCAGTATCCAAGTGTGGCAGAACGTTGGCTGGCTGGCTGGCTGCCGCGTCGCGACGCTGCAGCTATGTCAGCCTCTCTGATACGTTTTTCCGCAATTAATCCGATTCGCCCATTAGTCACTAGCCATTGTTGATGCTACTATTGATTAAATCCCTATTGCAGTAGCAAGACATGTAATTGGAGGGAAGGCATTTATGTTATCAGATACCCCCAAAGTAGTTAAATTTTGTTTTAGAAACTGATAAATGACCAATGAATCCAAATAAACTTAGCAGTTAGTCGTTCATATGAGACTTCTTGCATTATAGACGTTTAGCGTCTGCGATTTGTGTTTCAAGTGAATTCGGAATATAAGTCCGTATAAAAACACCTTAACGTACCGTTAATATATCATTTTATTTTGTTTCATTCATGAAAATGAATTGTCATGTTACTATAACAAACACAGCATCATCCTCTACACATATACCTATACTTGGCGCGTAGACCTCTGCTGATAAGAGCACGCTTCCCACACACGGAACCCTGACAGCAGTCTAGTAAGCAGCCAGTGCAGAGCAGACTCTGCCTGATAACCTTTGGCTGACATTTAGAATGAGAATACAGTTTTCAGCCGTCCCATATATTTGAAATGTGTCTTTTTAAAATAGCTTCAAGTTGCAGTCATTCATTCTTAGGAAAAAAGACCAATTATATCTAAACGGCTGCACTTTATTTCGCAGCAACCAGAGGACACGGCTTCTGATTGAAAGCTGCATCGGTTTTATATCAAACAATTCTTTATCAAAACTCCACAATCGAAAAAGCTAAGTGTTTAGCCACATTTATGGGCGTATCGATAGGAATTCAAGAGATGTGTACAGTACACTGCGACACTATCACACTATAAAACATTGCCCAATTATCATCTTAATTGTGTTCACATGAAGAGCTAAATATGATTACAGGTGTTTTGACCTAGACGTCAACATTTAGCTGAACATTTGTTGTCTAACTACATAGATGGTATGTGGATACGTATGTATTTGCATTTGTATGTGTATGTACATCAGATCGTTAACTACTGTTATTTGTACAGCCTGTCTCTGCAGTTTCTTGAAATTCGCTCTGTCGCTTTCTGGTCTAAAATTAGCAAAGATAGCGAAATACGGTTATAAATAGTTGTGTCAACATGCACAAGAAAAAATAAATATATAAAAGCAGTCACATGTGTCTGTGCATGCGGTTGCTATAGTTAAGACCTACAATGTATAAGTGTGAAATGGAACTTGGAAGTTATATGGAGAGAAATGAATCTATTTATCATTTAACTAATCTTGATTCAGCTCAGAGGAGTTTAGGTTATTAAAAATGATTACAAGTTGACTTTACGTACTTCTTTAGTCTGACAATAAAATGCAAAAACGCGGTCTAAAGTTGTTAAATTCACTGTGGAGGTCAATGGTAGGCAGACCGATCAAATTGGAGTAAACTGGTTTTATTTTCGTTTGCGATGAATAACTGGAATTAACATTTTCGGGGCTTTATTTAATTTTACTCGCTCATCCGATCGTCTGAAATATGACACACTTGCTTGCGTTCCCACAAATTATCAACGGACCCAACTGCAGACAGGCCAATAATTTAATAAGATTTTGCATTTAAAATTATTTTTGCTTAGCTTTTAGTAACTATTGCACTGCATAATGTTATCAATGTGTATAAAGTGAAGCATATATATATATATATATATATATATACATATATACCTTTTAATTAAATACAAATGCTTTAAAATGCAATAATAAAAGTAAATTATACAGACAGAATATGCAATTCTTTTTTGGCATTCATCTATCCTAAACTGTTGCTGTACAACTCTAAAATTAATATACAATTTTATTTACTACTAGATTCACCCAGTTCGAACGACCGCGATGCCGGCTTTTGTTCCGCTAGTTCGGAAAGCGAAGGCGGTGATGATTTGCCGCTAGAAGATGCGTCGCAGTGTGCCACACCCCACAACGAACCATCAAAATATGGCGCGCCTAAGGAAACTTCTGTTGTCCTGGTCCGCAATAAGCGGAAGAGTATGGAGCCGTCAAAACTTGTGGAGCCGACATCGACGGCGAACAATTATTGCTCCTCGATAGCAGTTGGCTCAAGCATGGCATCGGTGGGTCCGCTTAAGAAGCGAATACGTTACTCTTCGTCAGCTGATTCAGCCGTTATGTTGACGTCACCAGCTCTTCAGTCCCCATCACACATCAGCCATAACCATTTGCCCTCGGCACATACATGGGACCCTGCCCAAGTGCTGCCACGTCAAATGTTACCTAATCCTGCTCACATTTTCGTGCGCCATCCCGGTGTTACTACGCTACATCGTGCGTTCGCCTTCCCAGCGCAAGAAGAGCCACTGGCGCTAATAACAAGAAAGCCGCACTTCAACGATGTAGAATCAGGTGAAAAGCAGTTACATCTCACTTTCAAGAGCGCCAAGAACAAGGATATGCCCAACGAGTCCAGCGAAATCCTAGAGGAGCACACCATCGACGAGGAGGAGACTTGCAAAGATCATCATAGTAGCTCCCTCTCAAGACCGCAGCAACGGAACTATAAAAACATGACTCGCGAACGCAGAATCGAGGCAAACGCCCGGGAACGCACTCGGGTTCACACGATTTCCGCTGCCTATGAGACACTGCGCCGCGCTGTACCAGCATACGCAAGCTCACAGAAGCTATCGAAGCTATCGGTATTGCGTGTGGCTTGTTCCTACATACTGACACTGAGCCGTATGGCGGGCAAAGACTACAGCTCTGACCAATCGGAGCCAAGCATTGCTGATTGCATCGAGGCAATAAACTCGACTATTCAAACGGAGGGAAAGGTTAAGCGTAAGAAAGACGAGTGAAGGAGCAGAATTATAAATTTGGAAAGACTTTTAATGTGTCTTAAGAGTTTCACAAGTGTCGTCCTGATAGTTCCTGTGCTGGTTATTGTTTCCATTGGGACTTAGCACAATTTAAGCATGACTGAAGTCACATTTAACCAAATCAGCTTTATAAAGTTCTTAAGCTTCGCGATAAGTTGAAGTAAGCTAGATTAGTAAATAAGTTACGCACTGGGGAGATTTTACTGTGCATGAGCATATTGATATATAAAAGATATTTGTAGAATAGAAACCAGCTATGTGATCTTAATTTAAACCCGCTTGTAATACAACAAAATGTATGATAATTAAGGCCAAACATGTTCCGTAGTACAAACAGTAAAATATTAATTAACAACTTTTTAAAAGACAATAAATCTAATGAGAAGTAAGGTGTAGAGAACTTGTGACAATAATTACCAAAATAATTGTCGCAAATCAAAATCTAATCTAAGCAAGCGAGAAATGAAAATTCGATTCTAAGAAACGTTTAAAATATGACTATTTTGTATTTTGTACATGAGAACTTGATGTTCGTTGCAGAATGGAGAAGTAGAGTAATTGCGAAATAGATATTTTTAGTTTATCTATCTATCTATGTAAATGAAACTGACGCATAACCAATAATCTCATTTTATTAAAAAAAAAACACAAAATGTATTGTGCCATAATAGCAGAAAGCTGAAATACAAAAATTGACTGTCAAATGAAGTTTGTATGTGTTTGCATGTGGCTGGGACTGACCCATTACTCACCTGAGTGCGGGAGCACTTAAAAAATTCGACTCAAATGTATGTAGGGGTTTTATATTTTTATATATTTATTAATCTTATCAAACCTCACAACGATGGAGCAACGGAAGAGGGTGGGAAGGTGGCTGAGGGAAGAGTGTTAAGGCAACAGGTGCACGTAGAATGGCACTGTATGAGTTCAATTGTACCAAGTTCCCATAAGCCGTTTTAGGACGCGAGAACGAGCCAGCGAGCCAGCGAGCGACCTCTTATCACCCAAAAAAGTACTACACACAAATATTGTTACCTTATCTCCTATAGGCGAGCAAGGCGTTATGACACCACACACTCCCTCGGCTAGTTGAGGCATGTGCATTTGTAGAGCATTAATTTTTAAAAAGATGCAGTTTATCTTTCTCAATCGGGCATACACTTGACCTAGTGTGCAATAGCCAGTTTGAATTACATCAGCTAGTAATTCATACAAGAACTGGTTTGTAAGCGCAGGTTTCTAGATCTAAACAATTAAATATGCACGCGATTAAGGTGCTGCAACTGGCTGCTATTTCCGCAAATGCTATTTTATAGTCACTTTCATTTATTAATCATAGGTATTATAATTTTAGGTTAAAAATTGAAATTCAGTTAGTTACGACGCAAATTAATATTCTAGAGAGCCAACTAGATCGGCCAACAGGCCAAGAGAATATGAGTCTGTATCTTCATCGGATTGATGAATTGAGGTCATTAAAACGCCTTAGATACCTATACAGAATATGATCTTCAAAAGATATAAGAAAGTGAAACAAAACTTGCATTAAAATGCCTTAAAAGGGTCAGAGAACATTCTAAATGAATCTGGCTTCTTATTTTCACATTGAAATCTGCATATAATTGACCCCTAGAATCTTCATCTTTATTGTAGTTATTCAAAGTGATTTCACTCTCCAGTTAGCATTTGAGTAATCAGTTGAAACAACAAGTTAGATTGTTGGATCACATGTTATTCAGGCTGGCAGTCAGTTCTGGTCGAGACAGCTTCGCACAAATATTAGTGAAATCTAGATTAAAAATAGATCCATTGTTGGTTGTTCTATTTTAAATCTACTAAAGGTAACAACATTTAGCACTGCTTCTTCCTGGTGTTTACTTACTTTGGGCCTATTTTTGCCCCAACCGCAGTTTGGGGGTGATAATGATGATGATGATGATGATGAGGATGAGGATGATAATGATATTTATATCACATGTTGCCAGTAATAAACGTGAAATGTTAGTTAACGCCATAATTTTATGGCTCTTTTTGTTGCCATAAATAGATTTCAAATCAGTTGGAAGTTCTCTTAAAATTGAAATGAATCTAAGAAAAGTTGCTAACTTGTGCAACTCAAATCTTTTTGAATAGTAAATTGTATTCATTTTGTATCTTTAAGACCACAGCATAAAAATAAAATTCAATTGCAGAAGAATATATGTATGTATACATATGTGTGTATACATATGTATGCATACATATGGCCGTATGCACGCGTATATGGAGAGCCAACAGCTGGCGTCGCATAGTTAAAAACAACGCAAAAGCAAATTATTTGCATACTGACGCTAAATTGCACGCCAAGCCAAAACCGTCTGGGCAGGGGCTAGACAGCGGTGGGGACAGAATTGGCGCTGTGCATCGGAACGCACGAACCGTTGGCGCCCGAGAGCAATACACAAGTGACGTTCTTAAAATAAAACAAATGAGATTACTCTTCTGGTCGTATTCGACTCGTTACTACCCTATACCATGGGATCTGACCGTTAAAGTAAAGTATGGGTTTTCGACTATAATTTCAATAGTCTCATTGCTTTAAACTCCTAAATTTGCGTTTAGTCCTTACTCACTTTATTTAAAATATTCCTTCGCTGTTTATGCTGAAAGGTGAAGCGATTTACCTGGATATGATTGTCTAAAGGACATTAAATTTTAATTTTCGTTATTTTTTATATAATGTTGTACTCTTTAGCACCCATTCAAGCAGTGCAGGGTATCGGACGAACTGGGGCCAACAGAAACAGTCGCGGCTATTCAATTGTTGACCAAGCCAAAATCGAATTACGGCATCTTCTGCCACTTACTTTCGGCATTTTCAATATATATTAATCAAAAAATATAACTGAGCCCATTTGAAAAAAAAATTTAAGTTTATTTTTGATTAAAGAGGTTGGACGATGCTGAGCCACTGAGTAATTAGTAATTGACTAGGTAAGGCAAGATAAACTCATGTGACCCAATTGAAGTACTTTTACTAGACATTGGGCTCAATTTGCACATAATGGTCTGAAGTTTACTAGCATCGCCTTCTTCAGCATATTTAATTTTTTTTTCAATTTTTCAGACGCCGCCAGATGATTGGAATAGCGTCTGTGACTACGCCGAATCGGTGGGAGCTGGATGTAGAAAAACGGATGACAGTGTCCAGCTAGACCACATAGAAGGGTTCCGGGAGGATTTCCAAAAATTTAATTACTATAACTAATTTCAGAATCTTTTGTATCATCATTATTATGCTTAGAAACATCGCAGCAACTCTTTATAGGTCACAATATTTCACTGAAAATAGAGCACAGCTTCTTAAAAATAGATTCAACGTTGTCTTTCACTCTTCCGGAATATGTAGCTTAAATTTATTTATACGAGAAATGCAAACAGAGTGAAGCTGGCAAATAAGAAGGTTATGGTATCCTTCATGCATTTGCAGAAGACCATTTTAAGTAGCTTCTGTTCATGTAAATGTATATTTTGTACATAATTAGCTAATATATACATACATATATTTGTAGGTATATAAAGACGTTATCATCAGAAACTGGCGTCAGTGTAGCAAGAACATTAAACTTATGCCAACAACTTCGCGATAGCTGGCCATCAATTTGCTAAGCAGTCAGCGCCAGACCAAGACGTTGCGAAGACGGCATTGCTAATTGTGCAAGGGCAACACCTGGCTGGCTTGTCAACTAGAACGTATACCGTGCTGTACGAAGCAGCTGTACAGGTAAGTGCACAATACCGGAGCACTCAATCGCAGCGTGGATTAAGATTCCACCCACACAATGCAAAATGCTGCCCTTATTGTATGACCGAAGAGTATTGTGGAGGCGAGTCACGAGATGCTTATCAGCGTCCATAATTTACTCGTCTGCGCCCTGGTGCCATATGTGACCAGTTGGCACTGCCCGAGCTGGCCAGCTCCAAATGGACTCCTAGTTGAAGCGTAATATATATTCACAGCCAATTGGCGCCTGCTTTCGGTGTGTCGACGCAACATGTCAAAGCTTAAGTCAGACTTCCGTCGTTTCTTCCCCCCAAGTGGTAATTTGCCAATGAAATATAGTACGTATGGCATGTGAGCTGCGATCCTGGCATTTTCTTTGATTTAAGGCCGTACATAGGGTGTAAGAGGGTATCAACAAAAGGTCCACCAGCTTTCAAATCTGGCAACGAATACCTAAGCTAGAGTCATACATAGTTCTAGAGGTCTTTTTTCGGAATGAAATGAATATTTTGAAAAGTTGTTAAGCCATAGCAACTCTGTGAATACATATCGATATTCCGAATCAATACGCTTCCAAAAAGACATGCCGTCCCATTTTCGTCCATTTATAGTCAAAGCTAAAGAAAAATCAATTTTTTACAATCGACCCGATAATACATTACATTAGATTGGTTGCCAAAATGGAAAAACGTGGGGCACAACCATCCAGTGAGACTAACGAGTGTTAAAAACTCGTATTAAATTGATTTGCAAAATAAGGCAAGCTGAATCAAAGCACCCAAAATTAATAAAACAATATTGTCGCACTGAAATCTTTGGAATTTTTGTTTCATTGTAAACAGAAAATTAAAGACGTTATGATCTAATTGAATAATTTCAACTTAAATTTACCCAATAAACCCAATTAATGACTAATTTTATTTTGAATGTGGATTACAAAGCTCTTTTAGGAAGGAGACTTGTCTATATGGAAACCATCAGCAGATCATGGTCTGGAACATAAAGTCTTCATATGCTATACTCCGATGGATCATCACCTTACCATGTTTAGTTGTACAGGGTATTTGAAGAAAGAGCACGTGATACAGAAAAGCAACGAAAAAGCAACTAGTTGCTGGCGGCGAAACACCGAAAAAGGATGCGAATGATGTGCCCAACTACCATATAAAAATATGCAATCAGAAGAGTGAAAGATTGATCTCGAGCGGTATTCCGAGAAACCAGAGCTCAAGCACCAGTCGACGCTGTCGGTCCCTTCGACCCACACACACACACACACACACACACACAGACACACACACACACACACACATACACACATACACACACATACACATACACACACATACACACACACACATACATACATACATACACACACACACACACACACAGACACACACATGAATTTGGAACCTTGCAGGATCAAACTTCCAGTTTGCGGCACAAAACAAGTTTCAGGCCGTGTTGTGAATTTATCGCTTACACAAAAAAGCAACTTCAGCAGCAGCACCAGCAGCAGCACCACCACCAGCAGCAGTAACAGCAGCAGCAGCTTACGTTAGGCTGCAGAAGCGGCACGCTTTCATATTGTTTTAATGTTGCTGAATCGAAGCAGCAGCAAACGAGTAAGACGACTGCAGATCGCAGGAGCTTGGGCCGTTGGATACTGTGTTGTAACTATTGTGAGGCTATGGGCAAAAAAGCATTTCTTGGCGGTTACAAATAACTTAAATATATACAAAGCTCTTGGTGACTTAAACCAATATTAAGACTTTATCTAGCAAAGACTTTCTTTAGAAGACACATCTATTAAAGCTTTTGCCGTAAGATAAGTTGTCAGCAGCGGGTCTTAGCAGCACGGGTCTTAAGAATCTAAAGTTAGTAACAACAGCTACACCATCTAACACAAGTCTTAAATCATTCCAACTCCATTTGAAGCCGATATCCAAAATAAAACAATCGGAATTTTAGAAAATATACTTCCAACTTAATACAACATTTGGACGATCTAGCTCTTAAGCCGTACGAGATATAATTTAATAGCTGCATTTCGATCATGTTTTTAAGCGATAACAATAAAACGGAAATAGTTATCGATTATTTTAAACAAACTTGATATTCGCGTGCTATATACGCGCACCTAGAAAAAATTTGAAGTCTAGATGCAGAGATCGACGCGTTCTCACATACGGATTCATAACTGTAATCTAGGCAAAGTGCTTGATCACAATCTACAGCCAAGTTGATATAATTTTTCACCTTCTGTTTGTACCATTTCAAGTTGGCAAATTCGGATTATCGATGCAGAAATGGAAGCTTAAGCTACCTGTGTTTTGTAGTACACTTCAATGACTTACTAAGGTAAGCTATGGCAAATGTGTCCTTGGACATTCCACACCTATATAGCGCGTAATTGTTTCTGGCAGCGTCTTAAATCTACTCACTTTGATTAAAGCAACGGACAACGTTGAGTCCAGAGGATAAAGTAAGGCGAGGCATAGCTGCTGCCTCTCTCAAATATTTGTGCGTCTATGCCGAACAGTTTTCGATGAGTATGTTTTTTCGTTTGCTTGCAATTTGGTCGGAAGGCGGCTATTATTTAAGACTGCGATATTGCGTTATATGGGAAACGAGTTGCATTCCGTTGACCATTTCAAGTGAAGCGTCAATTGAGGTTTTATTTAGAATTTGAGCCGAGCTGCCGATGCCGCGCTGTCTTCTGTGCGACTGTGCTACACAGATGGAATATTGATAAGATACTTGCTGGCGGCAAATAATGGTAACGCCGACTAACTTTCGTATCTGGCTGGCTTAGACTTGTACTTAGATTCCCTTGCTTTTCGAACTCGGCAAAAGTCAAGATCTAAATTGGGCCATCTGGTAATTTAGACAATTCATTTGTATCCATAATAAAATCAAATATTTTTCTTAGTTTACTAATAACTAAATGTTTCGAGCTTGCTCATATTATATGTCATATCTCAAAAATAACATAACAATAAATAATAGAATTCGTTAAAGTGAGTCATCACAAAGGGAGCGAGAACAGAAAAACAACTTTCAGGCGATGCAGTTAATAATGTCATCAATGGTGACAAATTACAGGGATGACCAAGTTATGCGTGAAATGCGAAATGGGATCAGCAAAAGATATTGGATGGTGTCGTGGCCCATCTGACCAGAAGCGCTGAAAAAATATATAAAATTAATAATTAATATCAACTTGAAACAAGCACAACGAAAACGCATCAGCAACGGCAAAGCAATACGTGGAAGACCTGCAGTAATTGAAAGATCGGGTCGAACATCAAAGGATACTTACATAGGAAGCATTAATTTGAAGAGAACATTGGTCGCTTTTGGCATTTCATTTTTTTTTTTGGCGCGACGATTTTAATTGCTGAGGCGAACATTTTTGAAATCGGCAGTAGCAGCAACAGCAGCAGCAGCATCAGTTGCCGCCGCTAACCATGAACGCATAATTAATTCTGAATTTGATTACAAAAAATTGGAGCCGTCAGCAAAACTACCTGTCGACCGACCGTTCACAAAGGATGCAATCGATATTGAGAGTATTAATACGCAGCAGTTATACAGAAAGTCGGCGCTAAACGAAGCCTTTTTAATAATTTTAATAAAATACCTAATCGGATGTTCTTACAATCACCTCAGTTTGCTTTTGTGCTTAAATTAGCTTAAAAAGCAAGGGAGTTAGAATTGCAGTTGATCAGGCAAAAGAGGCTATACATGTTAGATAAGGCATAAAGATATATCGATATATATCGATACATTTGATGAATATTCAATAAAGCCAACGGCGAGCAGTGAGCTGAACGGGCAATGATCCACTTCATTACCAAAACAGACGAGAAATGCGTAGCACGTTCGAACTTGAACCATAAATAATATTAAGTTTTTTCTCGCTATGCCGAAGCGACTTCCTTTGGCAACCTTGGGAAATATTTTCCGTCTTCTGCGACGTTTCGGGACTGGCTCATTTCGATACCACTTTTTGCTGCACATGCCTAAACAATGTCAACTGTCGTGCTCAACACATGCAGACATAAATGTCAGTCGAGCGCAGCAGGCCAACAGACACAGCAGCGACAACTGTCAGGAGGCGTCCTTAATCGATTATCATTTTTAATAATCAATTGAAGAATACCTCTACCACAGTCAACCTGCCTTCTTATTATGGACTTGACAGCACGAAGACATTTATGAGTAGAAGCGCCCTGCAGTTGTGCCCGACCTGTTTAAGGCGCGCGGTGCCATTTGCCATTTTAATTGCAAAATAGTAAGGAATAAGAATGTTAGCTGAAGATGAAATTGTAAACGGCGGCTGGTATCTATTCGCTATACATAATAGTTAATTAAAAATCCAGCCAAATAACAATTGCCATACGTACGATTTTATTATTTAACAATATTACATTCTTCTATTGAACTTGTTCTGCCAGCTCAGAGCTATAATTATATTTGCTTCATGTATGCTAGAAGCTTTTAAACAGAGATCCAATATATTCTTGTATTTATTTTTTTGAAGCAACACTGTGTATCGAACGAGCTGTGCGGGTATTAGTTAGAGTTAGTAAATTGATAATAACAGTTAAAGGGAATACGTACGACGGAGCCGCGACGGAAGTGTGCCGACCTCGATGACAACATTCCACAGCTTAACGTCACCCCTGATGTTAACCATGTCAATGTCTGCGGGATTCATCTGATGTTTGAATGTCAGGATCGAGTTGCTGTTGACATATAATTCATAGCAGTTCTTCCGGCAGGCGATTATAAGAACAAATGCTTTCCCCGGTCCCAAATGGGTGCTGAGGCGTGAGACTTCACGATTTATCTCCTTACCGTTTATAAAGGCGCTCCTCGTAATTATGGCTTTACCCACCTTGGTGCGACTGCCCCGTATGAAATTGGGACTAAATGATAGCGATGCATTTGGAGGCGGCCAAATGTTCTGCCCGCACTGTAAGGTCACACAAAAAGTTTGTGGCATTAGACGAACACGACCCTCAATGCGCATCATACGACCATCCGTAAGTTTTTCATTCTGTTGCATTCGCCCATAGTACGGTATGATCAAATCAGGTGTGGAAACTGGGGCAGCCTCGACGATTGGAATGGGATTATCAATAAACCGCAGCTTATTAGACACGTGAAGGCTACTGTGAAGCAACATTTCTTTTGAAGTATCTCTAATGAATGGCAATTCGTTCGCCAAGCTAAGGCTTACACGAACCGGATATTCCGTAACATGGAAGATGTCAATGACTATATCGGCGACATCTCCGCGGACATCAACTCCAGTTATCCACTTATAGGGCATGCGGTATCTATACGTGGCGAAGTGAAAGCCATTTACCGAAATAAAAAACGAATCGTCTGTCAGCAGCACCTGCATCCAAAATGTTTTGCCACGTTTGAGTTGAAATGGTAAATTAGACGAGTTCTCCTCTGGGCCCCACTTGCCCATTAACCGCGAGTTCCGTGTAATATAGTTTTGTGGCAGACGCGCCCCAATCTCCAAGACAGTGTCACGCTTTTTACTTTTTGGCCTTGTCATTTTGGACATAAAGTCAATCACAAAGTGCTCGCAATCGCTAAGAATTAATCCATGAATGAGAAAACTAAGACCAGGCCGAGCCGTGTTTTTCAACATAAACAATTTCTTAGGATTGGCAGCGCTGCGTTCTTCATAGAATACAGACAAAGCATCCAAATCACGCCTCAAGGCAATGCTGCGCGCGCCAGTGTATACATTCATGGCCTTCCAGCCCCCTATGAATTTTATGCATACTCAAATGTCGGCATTGGCAAAGGTCGAAAATTGGTCGTCTTCCAATGTTTCGCTAAAATAAATTGGACTTTTGTGTCGAACGTCCTGCGAAACAAGCTGGGTCAACTAAGCGGGCTATAACTTAAATGAATTTTGTTGATTTTGTTGTTGATTTGCAAAATGTGGGAATATTTTGATTGAAAGTGTCATTAAAAAGATTGCAGCATGATTAACAATACTGGAAAGTTGATTTCAATATACAAATATTTGGGAGTTCACTAGAGTTTCAATTATATTGGTATGACATCTATAAAGAATCTTAAAATGTTTTGCTTATCGATAAGACAATTTCATTGTATAGTTGCATCGTGAAGACCATCTTAGTCTGTTACTTAACTATTCGATATAACTGATTTAATAATGAGAACCCACACACTTAACATGTATTTAGATTTATTTGTTTCTTAAATTTAGATTTGGAGAACTTTTAAGAGATTATACCACAAATTATAACAAGGAATACCAAAAGCATCAATACACAATTTGAGTTAAGGGTAAAAATTGACCCAGGCTTATAACAACATATACCACGATGTTCTACTTTCGATGCTTTTGGCCGGACGTTTAAATCGAAAGCAAATTATTGTCTTTAAAGGCAACTGGTTTATACTTAAGCTTACAACAAGAAAACAATGGAAAAGGATACACTTTCTTATCTAATATTCTTCAACAGGCAAAGGATTGTGATAGATGCGCAGATGTTTCCCCTTAATAATTGGATTGACTTCTAGTGTCACATTCCAGAGCTTGACATCACCCTGTATGTACACCGTATCGACAATATCGGGTTGAACGTGGTATTTAAATTCAGTAATGAACTGTCGATTTACGTAGACTTCAAATGAGTTTGCGGAGCAAGCGATTACCAAGCTAAATGTACGACCCGGACTAAAGTTTGTGTCCAGTTCAGATCGCTCCTCTTCCGCCCAAGATCCATTATACCAAGCGTTGCGACAGACAATGGCCTTTCCTATAGCACCAGTGCTGTTTTGTGAAAAGCGCGGATTCAAATGGAATGCAATGACGGGATGCGGCCAAATGTTGTGACCTTGCTGCAAATTTATGTAAAACGAATGGGGCAATAGACGAACACGGCCATCAATCTTTAAGCAGCGGCCTTCCTTCAATGATTTTGGCAAAATTTTCCCATAGTATGGAAGCGTAAGTCCTTGATCAATAGATTTGCGATGGCTCTTCAATGAGTTGTTTTCCAGTTTTGGACTGGGCGCACTGATTAAACACCATTCATGCGGTATACTAATAACGTCTTCGGTATTGGCATCAACTTCGTCCGCTTCCGTCGAAAGATGCGCTTCTATAACTCGTATCGCTGATTCATTAAACCGTTGTGGATATGCTTGGACCACGGCTCGCTTCATTTCCACGTCTTCCACGTCACCTTTGACATCGAGAATTTGAACTCCGTTCAATGGTAGGCGGTGGCTATATTCAGCAAAATGATTGCCATTTATCGATATCATATAACACGCGTCCGTAATAAACACTTGAATTGAAAACCTATCGCCGCGACGTAGCAAGAATGGCAGCGCCGAGGAGACTTCTTCACGGCCCCAAACACCCCGGACTTTGGTGTTACGCACAATGTAGTTCTGAGGAAGCCTGGGATTAATGTGCAACGCAACATCTCGCGACTCATTGTTGTACATAAAATTAATAGAGAATCTGCAGATAAATACGACTTAAGTAAGCTCCAGATACATATGTTAAGCGTACCCAATTACTCACCGCTCGCAATGAATAGAAATCTTTCCACTGAAGGTAAGGCTGACGCCTTCGCAAAGCTCGCCAACTTCGTCGGTATAATATTTGGGAAGTGCATCAGAGTATTCATAAAAGGACGCCTGAAGTAAATAATTATATTAGTAAGTGTGGCCAATGCTTACATATATATCTACATTACTACGATGTCTAGCTGTTCACTTTTGCCATCAAAACTGAAAGTATCAAAAATTGATAAACTCGACATTTCCGAAATCCAACGTGTCAAACCACAATTGCAGCTAGCCTGCTCTGTAGCACTAGCTCAAACCAAAATAGCTACTATACATAGTGCCGATAGATCAACAAAACAACTGCCATTGCAGTACATATATAATAATAATATTATGAGTTATCGACACGCAGTTCTTTAAATAATCCTTTTTATTTTAACAGAGTTGAATAATGAAACATGATGAAACATATGTATATATTTTATATTTTTCGTTAAATGTCTCCATATTATCACTGCACTATTACAAATATATTCCAAAGGAAAATCCTTGACTCGTTGCTTACCTCATTGAAACCACCCTTTCTATATGGATGACAACAACAAAATAGTTTTCGGCACAAAGTCTTAAGGCACATCTCTTAAATGTTTAAGACAACAGCAACAACAACAACAGCAAGTACAAGTGGTTATTTAATAATTAATTAATAATTATGTTTGTCTGCGCAGAGGGTTTGCCGTTATAAGGAAGAAGAGCCGTATAAAAGTAAAAACTGCTTTGTACACTATAGATTCATATTAAAATACATATCACAGTTGTTAATCGAGTTGTAAAATAAGCTACGCTGAGTTATTTGTTTCACTCTTCAACAATCACTACTGCCGCAATTGTTTTTACTTATTTTTATGTCTCACATTTGGTTGTCTCGCCCCAATCAGGAGAGACTTAAAGCTAAAGCGCTATGTGGAAAGCTTACTCATATACAGGCATACATATATAGACTGTCTAACAGACACAGTTGGACGTGAGTAGAATATGCTGTACAATATATAAACACAAACAATAAGGTGGATCGAAGGTGATGATGCTTGGCAAAATATGTGTACTTGTATTAGTATTTGTATTAATACGAATATATAAGAAACATACAGTTAAAGTATATAAGCAAGTAATGAAAACAGTACACGATGGGCCTATTTTATATGCCACGACTGTAGCTAACAGCTGAGCGAAAGCTCAAAAGCTTCCCGCCGTTATTATGAGAAACAGATGTGAAGAAGAGCCCGCTAAACGTCAAATAGACACACAAAGAGCGAGAGACGTTCTCATCAAAACTTAGACATGTTCAATAAAACATTAAATTGAAATAATACGTAATTGTTGGCATTTACAGATCTGAACGTAGAGCATACATATGCTTGCACTTACTTCCCTTTATTAACGAAATGTTCATACAATATATGCTTACGTTTCTCTGTACGTACATTGAAATCCAGACCATTCACTATTTCGATAACATCACACCACTCCGTTTGTTGATGGTCGAAATTTTCAGTGGGATGGTAACTCGTGCTCGCTTCAATAGCACCAAAATCAATTTGCGTTCCCGTAGCATGTTGCATGCTGTTTATTTCACTATACCCCGATGGGATTTTACGCTGATGCAACCAATGTTCTCGACAGTGGAGCCAAAATAAGCGTAAACGGCGTTTGGTTTGGTAATATTGTAGACTTCGGACAAAATTGAACTGGTTATGCCAAAATGCATCCGACAGATCGCAAAGTTCGCGTATCAACAGCGTGATTGCAGTCATACTAACCGGTTGACAGAAAGCGCGACACAATTTCTTGTTTCTGAGATGCTTGGAGCTTGTTCTCAATGTGGTCTCTCTCACTCTCTCTCTGGCTCTCTAACTGCTTGTATCTCTCTATATGCTTCTTTTGTGTAACCATGTGTATCGATTATATATACATAGTTGTATATATAATGCCTACACCCCTTGGCTTTTAAGCGTGTGTGCCTCTCTCTCTATATTTTTCTCTTTTTTTTGAGCACGCAATAAGAGATGTGTTAGGAGCTGATTTGACTGTTTTTGCTAAAAAGTACTCAGCTATCCACCAAGGTGCAACCACTTCGCGCTTAAATTATCGACTGTTTTAGCTAAAGGTTTGATATGCGTTCATAGGCAGTAGTGCTCTGATAACGTTATGAACGGTAAATCCGTACAAATCAAGATAGAGGTATATTTCAACTATTGTTAGAGCTACAAAAGCTCACTCCTAATGCGTGCGATAAGAAAGAAAATAGTACTAAGCAAAGTGGAAATACTTACATTATTTGTCCTTAGATGTAAATATTTTTCCTCATCACAACTGCTCAGATCCACATCACGTTTCCTTTTTCCACAGCAGCAGCTCATTGCTCAAAATATAAGGAATTTAATAATATATGTTATCAACGGCCTTAACAATCCGCAGTTACATGTATAGAAAACGCATTAACACTAGAGGCAAATGTAGATTCAGTCGATATCGCAATAAAATTGTATTTCTCTCGTTTTGTACAACCGTTGCAAGTCGCGAAAAATGATCAACTAATGTTTTGCTTATAAATTACTTTGTATATGTTTGCTATATACACACCTATCTAAATTTGTTCAGACGTTCTCGTGAGTCAGTGAGATCACACACAAGCAGTATTTTATCTTTATTATTGTTTTGGCGTATCACCTTAGCTATCGAGGAAAATTCTAACAGAAGTTGCGCACCAACTGATAAACATTTTATGAGGAACTAGATATATGTATAAGACTATTAAAATAATTTTTATCGAACGAGAATAACAGAATTATAGCTACTTATTTCTTTACATTAATTGGCGTTGCTAAAATAATTAGAAATAATACAATACTATTGTTTCAAACGTATGGTTGTTTCAAATATTTTTATATAACTTGGTTGTCCATAAGGCAATTGATATATTTAACTCCAGTTGAGTAAATAGTTAAACTATTTATAAATAAAGTACGTATATACTGTGTACACTGCGTCTTAATAAAATATGAAAAGTGTAACAAGTTCTGAGCATATTTTATATCTCAGAGAAAGCCCGATCAGTTTATAATTTAAATCTAGGCTGAGCTACTTAACGCTGTCTGGTTGATCGCCTTCCCATAGAATGTTGTGACTTTGAAGGCGACAACGGTTTGTCAACGCAAGGAGATTTATAATACTTTGACATCGTTTTGCTCGTGCGCGTAGGACGATTAATATGATCCGTGTTTTTTTCAGGCTCTGTTTTCAAAGGCAAGTCATCATCTTCATCCCATCGCTCGCTTTTCTTTTCCTCAAGGCCAGAATCATCGTCTAGGGTATCGGTTTTTGATTTATTGCGATTTTTACGGTTGCGGGACGATGATGAACTTACATCAGTTCGGTCTGATTTCTCACTAAAAGTATAGTTTAATCAGTAAAGCATTCAAAATACGAGCAATTAATGTACTTACTCTTTGATAGGCAAGCTGTTCTTGTCTGTGTTCTTTGTTTTGCGCTTTAACAATTCCAATTCACGTTCAGCGATTGCCTTCTTGTGTTCCTCCGAAGACTCACCGGCAACCAGTTTAGTAGTAGAATCTGCCATCTGTTTTACTGGTTCCTCTTGCTTAACGCGCTTAAGTTGCTGCTGCTGTTCTTGAGCTTGCTTTAGCGACCGCTTTAGTGCACTGCGCAACGTGTCACGGGCACTTTCTGTTAAAGCGTCCTTGCCGGGCTGCGGTAAGCCTATAGCTTCTAGAAGTTTTTGCCCGAGAGCAGATTTAACGTTTGTTTTACGGACACTCGCCATAGGAGTGTTGGACTTGCTTTTGGTAGCGGTGGCGGTGGCGGAGTTGGCATCTGTGTCTTCACTGGCACATCCAAGTGCATGGCTTGTGCAACTACTGGAAATAACTTCTTGTACTGTACTGGTTGGTGCTTGTGGAGTATCCACTGAGTTTTGGATAGAAGAAGCTTCAACGATTTTAGAGTGATTATCAGTGCAAACTATCTCCTCTGTGCTCTTCTCTTGTTCGGGCTCAGTCTTAGAATTATTTTCATCTGCTTTGGGCATTGAAATCTCTGGTCTGTTTGCTGTTTTTGTAACGGCCTTTCGGCGCTTAATGATCGGTCGCGTTATTGGAGAAGGATCAGATAACTCTGGAAGTGATGTAATAGTGGAAACATCTGCATCAGACGATAAGGGATTATCAAGTAACGGTTGGGGCTCAACGAGAACAATGTCCTCTAAATTTAGGGCAGAGCTTGCCGCTGAAGCACTGCGTCGTCGACATATCGAACGTTGAATTTTCGATTCCTGCTGTTGTTTTAACATTGAAGTTAGCGCTTCATTAAGCACATCAGCTGGGTTTGTGCTAAATTGTGACAGTAGCTTGGCGTTTATGTTGAGCAATTCATTTGCAACAAGTGTCGCTTTTGACGTCGTTGCTATGTCCTCAGTGTTTGGTGGCTCGTTACCGCTTAAATCGTGTAAACGTGATTTTCGCTGTTGGCGTTTGGGATCTAGGGGTCTACTTGTTAGTGGCTGTGGGTGCTCTTCATCCGTCGGACTAGACGGTACCAATTGCACCGAAGTCTCTGGCGGTAGTTTATACGGCATCGTGCACTCCCCTATGGTGCGTAGCTCAGCTGTTGCAGATGGACTTGCAGGTGGAGAAGGAGTCTTATTCGGATTGCAGGACGGATTGTTATGCTGCTGCTGGACAATAGCCATCATCGGCCCAAGATAAGGCCCCAGTAGCTGTGTAAGATCATTATCCTGCAGAAGATTGCTATCCGACATAATTACTGCAAATTTAGAGTTCTTTAGTTTCGCCATTTGCTCATTACAATTACCAATTGTGACTGGCCATTTTAGTGCCTTAAGTATGAGTTTCAATAGGTCTGGATCTCGAATAACATTACCCAGGGAAATAGCATCGGTAAGGCTGCTCATGCTGGGTAGCGCTTTAGATTTATTTACTGATGATGTTTCTGCCATTACATTTTCTCCGTGAACATTTTTTGCGTGTGTTATTCCAATCTTTTGTAATTTCGGTGGACTTTTCAGGGTTAAGGTGGCAGGCTCTTCCTTTTTCTTCTTGGGTGCAGCTATAATGATATGTTCTGGAAGCGCTTCCTCTACAGATGGTTCGGCTCCATACAACGACTGGTGTGGCACAACCGTGGTAGTAACGAGTGGTCTAATATCAATATCTTCTAAAGTCTGGCGTTGGTGAGATGGTTTTAATAGAGATACTTGTCCATCGCGTATGGCACTGATGTTGTTTAGGGCATTCTTTAGATTACGTTGCTTTTGTTGAAGAACGCTTTTAGGCAGATTGGGTACGCCAGCGATACTAACAGTCTGTGTAGCAGAAGCAGGGACTTGATGCTTTTTAGCGTGAGCACATGTGCTACCACCGGTACCGGTACTGTATCTTTTATTGACTTCAGTTGTGGTGATTGTAGGTGCACTGCCTGTGATACGTCCATGAGTCTGAATAAAATTGATAACACCTGCTGGTGAATGCCTTTTTTCTGGACTATATTTTGTGACTTTGGAAAGTGCCACCTCTGGATGTATTGGTGCTAAGGATGGTGGTAGTTGCATTGAACGCTGTGCTATCGACATCGGTGCTGAACTGTAGCGCGAATCCACAAATACGCTGTTACGCCGGGTCGGCTGAGTTAGACTATTCATTTTAGCATTGCTGCGATTGTTGCTGTATTCTGGTGCATCGCGTTGTCGCTTTTGCTGATGCCGCTGATGATGCTCACTGTCTTTATTAGTCAAACTGATTACAACATCGTCATGTTTTTCATTGCCGGCTGAAGCATGTGTCGGGTCCGAAGGACGTGTCAACAATATAGGACGAAATGTATTGTTATCCAAACTGCCGAAATGCCGCTTAATGTTGCTGTCGCTGTGGCTGGATTCATTTACCTCCTGCGTTGGTGTTGGCGCCACTTGTGATTCGTTAACGAGAGCTGCTGTAGCTTGGCGCGATTGCTTAGATAATGAAAAAGAGTTTGATATTATTTGTTTTTACATATAGTAATTAAGTTTGCAAATACCACTGTGCTTAGCAAAAAGTCTCGAAAGACACGCTGTGTGTGCTTGGCTATATTAGAAAGTGAGGCAGTAGCTTCAACCTGTCGATAACACGATTTGCAAAGGACCTTAGGTAGGGGATCATTTTCAGCAACCTGTAAAAAATAGATCGATTAACACAATAACATTTAGGTTGTTTATGTTAACATTAAGGTTGTTTATTTGTGTATCTATGTACACAAATTTATAGTTTTATAGTTTATATCACTCCCGCATGTATTTTTGTTGCAATACTTATTACTACATTTAAACATGCTTTTACTACATTCTCAAATACAATATGAGAAGAGGGAATCACTAATATGCATGCAGGAGGTAAGCTCACTCAGCTTGTTTGTTGTCTTTCAGTTTTCTGAAATTACTCTTTCATATATACATATACACATACGTACACACGGGGAGACACACATTGACATACGTGTATACGCGTACGCACACACACGAACACTAGCTTGATTCATTTGCATTGGTATTGCTAAACGAGATTTTTTGCTGTGTGCTGTTTCTCACTGTTTGCTATAAAATTTTTCTTTGCCTACTTTACCCAACCGACATTTTCGCCCACACGCAAATACGACATACATACATATTTAATTTCATATGCACGTACACGCATATTTTTTGAGTGTATGCCCGCTGTAGTTGTACTTTTCGTAAGTAGATTTTATTTATGCTATAAATATACGAATGAATAGAAGTATATAACTGTGTTCGTATGATGAATATTTGTATGAACTTAGAATTTGGTTAAATAATTCCATATTTTTAAGGTTTGTTTATGCATATGCAAATACATATACATGTAGGTATGTGTGTATATTCATTTTACGATTCTTAGAATTTTGTTTTTACTTACATTGAGAAATATATGACGAGCTATTTTATCCTTCAAGCCAGTTGTTTTGAAAATAAAAACACTTTCGACAACAGAATTACTTTTACTTTTTGTGTTTGCTGCACAAATGCGACACAAGTGCTCAAAATGTGCATCCATGTTAGAGGCCGCGATAATTCGCGTTTAGGGCTTACAAGTATATGAATAAGTTTGTATGTAGGTACGTTTGAGAGTAGTTTCAATTAAAAGCCGTTATTCCTGACATGCTGAAAGAAACAGACTAAAGTTATCGTATATGAATATGTTATAAGCAAACACCATACCTGTATTAAAAAAGTGTTAACAAATTCAAACTAGAATCTGTCTATATGTGTCAGTAAATTAATAGATATGCGTATGCTTGTATGTATGTAAGCATTTATTTTTAACTGCACTTTGTTTTACGAAAACACTGCAAATTTGTCAAGCTTATTTCATTGCACCCGATTTACGCGCTGCTCACTTCACACACGCTTCGTTGTCATCAATTTGCACACACACAGTTACACCAATACGGCCACTACTATAATGTGGCTTGCCTTGTTTACTATATTTTTTATTTTTATTTTTTTGGTATTACAGTTTCGTGAAAGTCGCAAGCGCATGAGAGTAAAGAAAGAGAGCGCGCGTGCAAAATATAGCAAAATATAACACTAATCATAACATTTTCAATGAGCATGTGAAGCGACCGATGATCAAAAGAGAGAAGTAGAGAGCGAAAGAGAGAATTTTTTGGTTACTTCTTTATATTTCAGCATACAGACGCTTACAGTTGTGATTAAAATTGTGTCTTCTGGTGTATGAAATGCAATTAGTATAACTTTATATTATATCTTTTATAAGAAATATAACAGGTTGTATTAGTTCATCAGTCCTTTTAAACACAGCGCGCTGTAGTCTCACTAACACTTGCGTTTCGACGAACGAACGAAAAGAAACTGAAAGAAAAATGAAAAAATCATATACATATACTCTGCGACGGCTTGTCACACATACACTCTTACACTGCAATTTCACATTGTTTTTGTTGTGCACGCTTTGCGTGTTGGGTCGCTGACTGTGTGCGTGCGTGTCTGGCTGTTGTTTTTATTATACGCACACAACGATATTATATTTTGTGCTGTTCGTCGCATTCATGATATTTTGCTTTTGTAGTTGTATGGGTGAGTGTCGGTGTTGCAGACATTTTGATGGCGTTTAGCCAGTTTTCCACTGTCTGTGGAATCGTGTTGATTTTTGTGTGTATACATATATTTATATGTATATACATGTATGTATGTATATATTCGTATATATGTAAATTTATTATAAAAAATCTATTATGTGTGCGTGTATATGTATTCGTGCTCTCCGCGCTTTAGTATTTTAGTGGGGCTTTTATTTTCATAATAAAACTTGTTCTCACAACGTACATTTTATTTCGTTTTGCATTCTGTTCCACACACCGTTCGCAATCACATCGTGTGTGTATCAGCTTGTGTGTATGTATGTGTGTGTGATCATCGTCTTCTGCTTTACTTCGTATTTCTGTTTCTCTTGTATTTGCCTCACTAATACGCACGAGTATTTCTGAACAAACTCTCACACACATGAGCATTATTTATTTTTTGTAGCATTCCTTCACTTGCTTGCTTTGCAATTTTTCATTTCCACCATTTGAATTGTAAGAGAAAATATTAAATTATGAATGAGAATTCAAATAGTTAAATTGACTTACAACTTTTAATTATAAAATAATTAAGAAAGAATCTTGTATGGGAACTTATACACAAATACTTTCATGCATGCAATGGATGTATATACATTAATATACTCATATCCATTATATACATTAATAAACATATATACACTTACATGAGCATATTTATATAAATATTTGTATTCGGAAAATCGCATTTTAGGCCTGGACTATTAACACCTACTGAGTTTTCATAGTGATATTTTAGGGATTAATCAAGCAGTATATTAAGATATATAAAATTCTGTGATGGTATGTGTGCATATACGAATACTAATGCACCTACATTTAATACATGTTGTGTACCTAGTACATGAGTATTAATTCACATAGCAGTGTACATATGTAGACATACATATATGTATGTATATGGATTCAATTGAACACATATACATGCAGATGTTCACGTATAATGTCTATATGCTTGAGAGAGTATTTAGTGAGAGAGTGAGGGTATGAGAGTGCCATCTTTTTAAAAAATACTAATGTCTGCATATACATCCCAAAGTATGCAATACGAAGGTTTCTAGGAATTACGTTTTTTTTTTAATCAAACCTTTTTTTAGGCTTACACGTCATCGAAATTTAAAAAAATATAAAAGATTTCCTTTTTCATGCTTGTTTGCCAATGTAGGAAATATCTCTGAATTCACTTACCTCTCTACCCAGTTCAAAAGTTAACAGACAACAGTCATGAAAGTATGCAATATTTTAAGTCAACAAGTTCCTGTTTACGTTAGATTAATACCATGAATCTTGTAACTTGTAACTTTCTATTCATATCTAGACCTCTATTAATAACTATGAAAAATTCTACAAATATTTTTCAAGTACTTTTGTTTACTTAGCTATATTGATAATTACTTACATACATCATTATTTAATATATTTAATATATTCTATCTCGCAATATTACCTGTATTCACATCGTTCAAATCGAAAATGATATAAATATACAAATTGAGCTTTTGTTTAAATCACAATTATGATCAAAAAAGAAGAAAAAGTAGCTCGCATACCGGGGACACCTTCTCGGACAAAAAACGTGGCATACTTTGTGACTGATCTGAAAAATCGGTTGACTATTAAAACAAATAGATAAAAAAAATGTTAACTACCTTTAAGTAAATATCATTTTCTTTCTATAGAAGCAGACAATACATGGATAAATATATATATATATATATATATATATATATATATATATATATATATATATATATATATATATATATATATATATATATAGCATATATATTTATATATTTTCGGGTTTTTAGTGGTTAAAGATAAAAAATAGGGTAGATTATTTTTATTCAGTGAAGGCACTTTGGGTGTACATAAAATTAGTTTTGTTTTTTGATTTTCATCACAAAAGGGTTTTCACTTTGCTTACAAAGCATTAATTATGTCAGACAAGAACTTTTTTTACTAAATTTAGTATTTTTGTAACGGTGTTTGCATTTCCTGGAACTCTTTCAGTTTGCATACTTTTGTAAAATGAATAGAAGGAAGTTGTATTATTTTATATTCTAAATACTACATATTCACTCATCTTAATTGAATAATATAACTGGTATCTTCAGTATTAGCTCATTATTTTTATCACACTGACTCAATGTTTCCATATCGAGAGGTTATAAAATCCAGCAAAATATTGTATAATTCCTGAAAATCGGTTAAATTTTGATAAGTTCAAGTTGTTCAGACTTAAAAATTAAATTGTATTTAAATTTATTATAGAGACAACGATTTGAATTACTTCAAAATAGCCTTTTATAATATTTTAATATTTCTTATATATTCTTTCTTGAATAATTTTATTACGCAAACCAGGATTAGTCTTGGTAAGTTTAGTAAGTTTTGTAATATTTAAGTGTGTGTACTATAGCATAGTCATATTACACATAGATGATCTGATATAATATAATAAAGTGGTGTCTAAGGCAACTATACTTCTGAAGTAAAATGCATTCAGTACTCGCTGTGCTGTGCAAAATACAAAAACCGGTCTTCAAATTGATCCAGTTACTCATTTAGGCAAGCGACATGAGCCGAAGCAAAGGCAAAATATGTTTACGAATGGTAGTTTATACGTACTTGAACGATTTATAAATAAATAATGATATTTGTTTGTATTTTATCCAATTAAATAATAAAATGTAGGTAGATTAACTGGATAGATGGGCGTCTTTAGGCCAAGCAACCTCGATAAAGCCATTCATGCTTATTGTGATTTTAAATTTGCTTATGATACTGCAGTTTCATTCCAGTTTTTTTTAATGTAAGTCTATTTAGACCATCTAACCTGGGTGTGTCAACCAAATGTAAAATGCCAATTAATGGCAGCAAATATTAAGGTCACAGCTGCAAGCATTATTGACGATTTATTGGCATTTAAGATAAGTGAGAAATACCCCTAGCAGTACACGGAACTTTGACGTTGTTAATGAAACAAATAAGTCGACTGTCAATTGTTTTGACTGACAAATGTTCAAATGAAGTACTTTCACCCCCAATTAAGTGGGATAATATACATTATACGTGAGCCGGTGTGATCTAGCCCTACCTGAGAAGTTAGTTAATTATATATTTATTTATTTAAATCCATTACAATGCAAAGGTTGGCAGGTAAAAATGATATACGTTTTGTATTTCGAGTTTTTTCATATGTAATTATATACTTATGAAAAAACTAATGCAGGAACTATGTAATTAATTAAGTTATTTCTCTCAGGAAACTGTTTAAGTCTTGATATAAACTTGATTGGCTTATGGTCTACAATTTAAAATATTATTCTATATTCTCTTTCCGTAAAATGTATATATATACATATAAATAATATAATGTTTATATTTTGATTGTAGCACATGGATTGGGGTATGTCCAATAATTAATGGCGAGCAACAAAATCAAACTATCTCTCGATATACTTAGGTAAAATGATCCGGCTAGGCGTGGCTGCTGCTGGTCAGCTAGGTATACAACACAGCTGGCGCAATATTGTGGAGCCGTAGAGTATCTATATTAAGTATTAGCCGGTTCTCGTAAATTCTAGTTTCTAGGTGCCACAATTTAAATGGCGCGGTCGTGCTCGTTCGCCTGCTTCCATATGCATAAAAATTGCAGCACTCGCCCAATACCTGGCGTCTTAGCATCAGCTACAATACAGCAATTGTCGCGCTGAGAAGCCGCCCAGTCGCTGATTGCGAAACAGTCACTCCAAGGCGTGGAGAAGGTCAGCAAGTCGCTTGTTGCTACCTTTGTTGTCGTTGCATTCACATTGTTGCCGTTGATTCTGTGAGTGTTCTGATTTCGTATTTTATAACTGTCGCTGTGAACATGGTCCAATGTTTGGTTGCCTTGGTGAGTGGGTGTGAGACTTAAAAATACATATTTGGAATAGTACACATGAGTTTGATTTAATCATATTTTGGACATATTAAGATCAATTGAAGGAAGACCTCTTGGACTTAACTGAAATCCAAGTATATCGATTTAAAGGTAATTTCAATTATAACTTTATATTGTAGATCTGACTTGTAGCTTTGATGAGAAATTTAAATTTTAAATGGTGCTGCTTTCTACCTAATAAAAGCCTATACAAAAGGACAACTTCCATTTTATTCATATAATACTATATATTATCATGTCGCAGAAACACATTCGCAGCTTTATAAATTGAGGCTTTTCACAAAAGCTTTTTCAATTATCAGGGCCATTAGATCGTGAGCTTTTCTTAAACGCAGCACTCCCATTTTTGGCCAAGCTGCGAGTACAATAGATCGGTCGAAAGACCAAAGCAAGTAAATACAATGTACAATCTGGCATGAAGGTCGTTACAAATGTAGATTTGTGCATGAACGTATGTACGTACGTTAGTATGAGTGTAGGTTTTTGAGCTTACAATAGACTGTTCGGTTAACGCATTAATAGGGAAGTTATCAAGGCTGCATACTTAACGGTTTAATGTACATACTCAAATTGTTGGTATTTTTGTCAATGTCCAATATGTGGTTAAATTGATTGTCCATAATTATAAGTAAGGTACCAGGGACTACTTTACTCACATTGCACTACCTATTGCAAATCGGTTTATTGCGCACCACGACTAATCTTAACTTATTAAAACATTCAAATAATGAGTACGAATTGAGTTTTAGTCTAGTATGAGGACTATTAGCCGCTCTGTACACACGTTCACCCTTTAATGAAACATATATGACAATTATACTTATATGAGTTGTATAGTATACGATCTAGTCATCATTGCCGTTAAGTCAAAACAAAATATATATATATATATATATATATATTTTTTTTAATTGATATTAATTATTAATTAATCTACAGTCTATTCATACTTATAGACTCATAGAGTAAGTACAGGATATGATAACGGTTGGGCACTGCTACAAGTTGGCTAAATATATTTTCGCTGCCAATTTGTGAAGTGAATGGCAAATATTTGAGGGGCGCTGGCTTTTAGGAATGGACTATGAAGCCGAAAATGACAAAAACTTTTGTTAACAGTCACAACAATTTGGAACGCCAATTGGAGGTATATAATAATGTAATAATTTGCTTTTCAAAATATACATTAACATTATAACTCCTTGACGTAACTATGACATTTATACCACTCTGACTATCTGACTTCATTTTTGTTTTACATATATTATAGCGCTGTTAACTCAGATAAAGGCTTTAAAGGTAACCTGAAAAGGTTTAGTAGAGGACTATTTCAGTACCCCTTAACAAACCAGTTAGTTTTGTCTTTCATAAAGTTTCTGTGACATCGAAAACTAAGTAAGTTTACTTAAGCTACCCAACCCTATGGAAAGTTTTTGCGTTGTGAACTTTAGTGTTGGTCTAGTTGTTCGGCATTGTTCTTGCCTGCTGCCGTTGGCAGTTCCGACAGTTTCACTTTCAGTTTTTTACTTCGAAATAATTTGTATAAAGTTATAGTCTTTGTTATGTCAAGCACACAGTTCACAAGAAACTGGCACAAAAGCTCGAATGCTGCTTTAACTATTAAATTGATGTAGTAAGTATTATATGTATTAAATTGTGTTAAAACATTTGCTAAGGAATCTCAGTTCAACCATTAGATCACAAAAGCTTTTATCTGCGAGGCAAATGTTACTCTTACTTTCAAATGTTAAAGAGACACCGTCGAAGCTAGCAGCCGTGCACGTAGCCGACAGCATAACAGCAACACTAACAGTGGTGGTGCTGTTAACTAACAGTCAACCACAATAAAGACCAAGCTCAAATCAGGCTTGGCTCGTACGGTTCAGCTGACTGAGTTGAAGCACTTGTTGCGCACAGTCGCGTTTGTTAGTTGTTTCGATTAGGACGTGTTCCCTCGAGCGCACGGTAAGAAGTGTTTTGGCCGATAGAATTGGAGTATTGCAATAAGCTGGTTGCCTAAGAACACCATCATGTGCAAAGTTCAAACGGTTTTGAGCACTCAAAAGTCAACATATCAATGTGTTTATAAACTCGCAAGCGTCGACCTGCTAAATTCGTGACTATTGCACTCAACTAACTCACATATAGAAAGCAGCCACAGCTGCATTTTATAGTTCAAGAGACGCGCGTGTATGCGCGAAAAAGCTACGGCAAACGTATTCAGACTGGCTTTACGTCAAAAAGAAAGTTTTGCCAAGAAAAACATCAACAAAAACAAAAACTGTTAGGTTTGGTTGTTTGTTTATTTTATTTCGCTTTACATTTTCTTCGCCAAACATCATCTTAGTCGCATCCATTTCTTCGGATTCGTGGTGCGACAGTGAAAAGAGCGATAAAGATTTTAATCTGATTTGGATTTCTTAGTGTTAACAATACATCTAATACCGTATGTTATGTAGCCAATAATGTAATTCAATATTTTTTTTGTTATTCTTGGCTACTATTGCACATCAGTAATAAACTAAAAAAAATAATTTTTAAAGCAAAATTTTTAACACTTGTTATTACGCTTTGAAGTGTGTGTGTGTATGCGATTGTGTAAATAAGCCCACATAGATTAATAGAAGCAAAACTGAATTAAATTGCAACCGCTTTAAGAAACAAAACAAACCAAAACCAACAGCTCAAGAAAACTGTAACACAACAGCTTGAAAACGAAAAAATCTAAATTAAAAGATTACGACATTGTTTTTCTATACACATACTGACGTGTGTACATATCTACATACATTCGTAAATACATCTACCCTTTGTTTGCAGTAAAGACTGGCAGTTTTTAGGCTGCTGTTGCCGTGCCGTGCCGTTTGAATGTCGGACTGTGCTTGCAATTTGGTATTTCAAATTCTGTGAATTGACCTAAAAAACGCAACTGCAACAACAACGAAATTTACAGTTACAGTGATGCGCAATAACTACAATAACAGCAACATGCAGTTTTCAATACATCGACGTAGTTTATACTGGCTTCTGGGATTATGCCTATTGTTATTCGAAACAGGTAAGTTCGTCTTTGACATCATGTTCAACAAATCAAATGACTTAAGACACAAACTTGTGTGTAGTCAGTCTAATTCCAAATTCCTCAACATCAAATTGAATTAAGTTAAGACAGAAGTCTTTGTGCTTATTTACGTTCTAAGAAATGATCTACTACATGAAACTGCAGCAAGCGGGCCCAGTTTTGGTTTATTTGAAATAACATCATAATAAGTCAATTTATAATATCTTGCCACCTGAAAATGTTCAATACGTTATAGAAATGAACTGCAGCCAGTGAAAAATGGTGACAGACCAAACTCGTTTTGATCTTAGTAAAATTGACACAAAACGAATTCTAAATAAAGTCTGACGGCAATTTAAATATTTTGACAAAACAAGCTTCAGTCGTTGTATATTGAATATTCAAATGCAACATTTTCAACTACTCAGCAGACATTTTCGGACTCAAATGACATATCCAAATATTTTTGATGAGGACAATTGTATGTTTTGTCATAAATTTATATTTCTTTCTTTCGAAACTAGTTTGAAGTCACCTATAAAGACATCTATAAATTTGAGAATGTACTTTGCTGCCATGAATTTGTGAGACGAATCTCAAAACAAAAAGATGTGCTTTTTTACTGGTTGACAAACCTTTCCTGTTTCTTTCGTTCTACAGGGTATTGCTTATTCGAAAATTCTTATTTGTTCTCAACTGGCATTATTCATGAGTAATGCTGATCGGCAATCGCAAAACTTGTTGGCCCAAAGTCATGTATATAATTAGGAGTGGAATGCCAATATTTAAGCTGTGCAGATATTGATCTCAAATTAAATGAAAGAGAACTACACATATATAATGCCCTTTGCAACTTCTATAAGTACAGGGTATAGTAATTTAGTGATAATCAAAATCGAAAAAGAAAAAAAAACTAAATACTTTGGCATGTGTCTACCGAAAGATTAATGAATCAGCGTTTATAGGTAAATTTTAAGATGTGTGTACGAAAGAATTGTATTTATTTTTAAAATTTATAAGAAACCTGTTTATGCACAGCAACACACAAATATATTACAGGTATAAAATGATATATTGCGGATTTATTCAATTTTAAGTTGTTCCCTTCTATTAGGCAATATATTCTTAACTTCAAGCTCGATTATGAGTACAATAAGTGTGCAGTTATGCGCATAATTATGTATGTCATATGTAGAGCCGTTGAAAGGTAACAAAAATATTGATCTATTTAGCTAACATACTTATTTACACATGAGTAATGTGCAACATAATCGCTTTCAAGCATAACAACGAAGCTGAGCGATTGGTCAGCTCACGTTGTCCACAAGATATCGGGCTTATGTAAGCCATGCCAATCAGCCAGCCAGCTTATGGCACAGATATTAATTACTTACAACATAGTGACTTGAGTGCCATGAACGAATTGAAAGAGTTTTTTTTATTTAACGACTCTGTGTTTATGTTATCAAACAAATTGCTGTTATAATAACTGTAAATAATTTGCAGACACAACTCACTTAAATGTATTTTAAGCTTGCAAATCAGCTAATAAGCATATATGAAAGAAATAGTCGAAAAATGCCTGTGGACTAGAATTCCCTTTGAAAACACAGTAATGAAATCTATTTAATACTCACACAATAATTACTATACAGCTGATGAAAATATGTCGGTATGAATATACATTTGTAAAAGCAATCGAATGTTACGTGCACGTAATATTTCATTTCGATTAGTTTGCCTTCATTGCACTGCGCTGCCTATTCCACTTTCATTTTCTGAAAACTGTTAAGGGGAATTGCGCTTGTTATTATGCACTCACACATACAAAGTACGAAATAATTTGGGCTGTGTGGTATATTAATCGACGCGCTATTTGTATGTATTTAGAAAACTTTTCTTAGCTGTCACTACAATTGAAATGCACAGGCCGCACAAAGAAATCGACCTAGTCCGCGGCGGGTCAGATGATAAGGCACACGATTACGGCATGTCCAAAACAAACGGCGACACTTCGCATCGCTTGGCAGCACTATAAGTAGATAGTATTTGATAACTTACGTTGGTTGTGATTGAGAAAGCTGTCACGCACATGTTAAATGATATGCACTTATACAGCCATAATTAGTTACGGACCACATAGCAGCAAAGGACGGATGGGCAGTGTTATGTTGACTTCCTTATGCAAGAATTGTCAATGTCAAATATAAGAATTCTGCTTATTTGCTAAAGACTAAAGACATGCGGAAGGCCCTCATTAAATGTGGTACACTAGTTGCTATGCGCCTGTCTGGCTTGTACTCTAAATGTAATCTGAGTACTGCCTATGTGCATATGCGATATGTGGTGTAACTTGAATGTAGCCGCTGTTCACTTTCGTTTTTTTATACCCTGAACCCATTAAAAGTAGGACTGCAGGGTATAATGGTTTTCTGCACATGTACGTAACAGCCAAAAGGAGGCAGCGTAGCAGGTGCCATAAAATATATGTATTCTTGGTCAGAACGACAAGCTGAGTTGATCGACCCGTGACCGGCTGTGTCTTGACAGTTTAACTGTATAATCTGTGTTTTACTTACTAAATATATAAGTATATCTCCTAGTCGAGCAGCCTGGACTTGAGCATTTTTACTGTTTTTTTTGCACTGGCAGTTTGCAGCTGAGCTTAACAAAGGCTTAGGCAGTACAAGCTGAGCGCGCGCATTCATAAATATGAACAGAGTCTATTAATGCACGAGTAGTGCAAATATTGTAATGGGTTAGGGTCTATGACTTGTTACTATAGACAATAAGGGAAAATTGAACTTAATTTTGATTTTTCCTATGTGCGGAATAAAATAATATCCCAGAGACTTCGGAGACTTCACCACAAACTTCCCAACCCTATTTGTTATGAGATTATGAGGGGGCTATGAAATTACGATTTAATGGCGCAATTCACCTTGAATTAGTTTTCTTTCCTTCTCATTGTGTCCATACAGTCGACAGACATTAGCTGTCGGTAGACAGACTTATTTTCAATGTGCACCGAGCATGGCTGCACTCACAACAAGCACCAAATATATAAAAACTTTTGACATCTCTATAAATCGTTTTTGGAAATAGCAGCCAGTCGCCTTGACTGGCACGTCTGCTCTACTTAACACTCTCACACCTGCCGCTGCCTCTGTCCCAGACTCGGCTTCCAGAGTGCTCTTTTTCACTCACGGCCTGTGTAGCTAATGGTTGAATGCTCAGTTAGGATTGCGTAAAGCTCTTAATTTTTATGATTATTTTATGCGTGTTTCACATCTACGGCTCGCTGCTCAGACTTGCATACTCTCACTGACACAAGCGGGCACCCGTAACGCTCACATATGACTTCAGGCGACTTTGCACGGTAACCGTAGCTGTGTAATTGATTGAACTGACTGTGGACACCACATTCTACTCCCTTATCCATAATTACCAAAGCCATATGTACGCTATTCACAATTATATAAACCATGTGGCAATAATAATTTATAGACCATATGCATACATCAAAGTCGCAAGATTGCTCTACGAAAATGCTTCACTTTCTTTTTAAATGCCCCTCGAACAAATGGGTGAATGTATTTTCTGTTAACCTATTATTAGAAAAAAGCTGTACATGTCTGGCATGAACTCACAGAACTTTGAGATGAGCTTCAAGCTGACCACAAAGCAAACAACAATGTTAAAATTTGGTTGGTTTTTTTGGATTACCAACCTTTACTGCTTATCCACTACCCACAATTTAAGTACTCGTATAGTGCAATTACATGAGTACAGTGGCAGTGGCAGTTGCAGCCATAAAGAGAAGTAGACAGCAAACAATTCAAGGCTGCAACTGCACATAACTACACAACAATTTAGAAAGGCAGTCATGCTAAATGATTTCGACACCGTCATGGGTCTTGGGCGTGCAAACGCTGCAAGGACACAGTCCAATTTGCGCGGCGTACCAAGCCTGGCCCAACAGAAACACAGCTCAGTGCTTACAATACTAATCCATTTGGCAGCATAGCTTATGGATGACTGAGGATCGAGTTTGTACAGTAAAAATCAATTGATTTTTGAAATGTTTATGCTTTTCTGTTTTTTTTACCAGATCGTTCAGCTACCAACTTTAAAGAAACAGGGCTCGTTGGCCATGAAACTTATCTCATTCTGAGCACTGTACGTTGGCAACGTGATAAACAGGATTGCTGCAGATGAGCAACGACCTTGGAGCTTACATTTGTTATTGCCGTTTATATTACGTTGAGTCCGCTTCATAACTCAAGGGCGCAAAGGGCATCCGTTCAGATGCAGGCGAAAACCGCTTCTTTTTACAGCTTACGCAGTAATAATTATTCAAATATTTTTTATTCGGCTTGAGCCTGGTGTTAGCCTTTCACTTTCACCAGCCAAAGCAAGCCGTACTAGCTACAGTGACAATGTATTTATCGATTAATGATGCTAGAGCGTCTATTACATAAGGTACAGAGTGTAGTCCGTCTGCCCGCAAGGTGCTCCATTAAATGCAGATTTGTGGACCGAACTGATTACGCGTAAATGTCTTCTGCCTTTTCACATGCAGCGCATGATTAATCATCGGCAAGAGCCTGGCCTGTCACGTTAGCCAATCGAACGCATCTATGCAACACACTTATCGAAATTGTGCCAGATGGCGGGTCATCAAGAGTGTATTCACACTGCATATTTAAACTCTAGGTCTTTATCATTGAAGTTTGTGTTTTACTTGTAATTGCCATATAAGTCAATTACCTGATGCAGCCGTCCATGTTGTTTTTTGGTTAGTGGTTTGGCTTATTGCGGCAATGCCGTCAATTTGGTTAATCACAGCGGGAACCTGATGTGGCCTGCCACGTTTTCAATACCACCAAAGCGTCGAGGGAGAAAAAACACTTATGAACTGGTTCCAATTACAAAGCGCAGTTTGATGACATTATGCTTTAGTCGCATGAGCCTCTTTATTTGTTATAAAATAAATT